TGATCCTCATTTAATAACACCTCTGCAGAGATTCGACCGTAAGATTGGTTATCGAATCAGGCTCGTCCTGTCAAAGGAAATACAAAAAGAAATATTGAAGAATGTTCACATTCCCTTTCCTTACAACAATACTTTCAGTGAGCAGGGACTGTCAAGATTCAAAATAGAATAAAACTATCATAAATGTAGTCCATGTGACATATCACTTCTAAAGATATATGATGGTTTCGTGTGGAACAATCTAAAATGTTATTTGCTTCTGCCATAGATCTCATATTTCATTGACACTTCTACATACAATCAGTCTAATGAGATTATCGATGTCTTTACACAACACATTTGAATAAATGCAAATGACTCTTGATGTATGATGGAGTGGAAGATTTTCAGTGGATATAGTGTAAAGTTCAGACATTTTCTAACTCAAATCTGTTGTATAACAATCTGTTCTACAAAGACCTGTAATAGAGAGCATGAGTTATATGGACCGCTTTTATGGTGGTTTTGTTCTTTTTTAGAGCTTGACAGCCCAGTCACCTCATGCTTTTGTGGTGTCAACATTGCCCATAATGTCTAGTTTTGTGTTCTATAGAAAAAATAATGGGTTTCAAATGACATGAGAGTTAATAAATGGTGACATTATTTAATGTGTGTGTGTGTGTGTGTGTGTTTCCAGCTCACCTGTAAAGCAAAGCCTAAGTAAAAGACTGTTAGTATGCACCACTTTGCCATGGTAAAACCCCAGGAGGGTAAAGGTAACCTTTATAGCTTTGCTTACATTACATTGATAAATGTAAAACATACCTCTTTAAAACTGGGTTAAAATTAACATTCACACACTGCCTCGAACATTTTAACATGTTTATCCATTTTTTTTCTCTCTTCGTTGTTTAAAGCGGTGTAGAACATGTTGCAATTATGCCTGTCTCTCCCCTTAGACTAACACCTCTGCACCACCACCTCTCTAATCAACACTTTTTAATTAGCAGTTTGCTAACTCATCCACAGTGACGTGTGTGCCAAAGTGAACCGAGTGATTTCTGCTAGACAGCCGTGTCGTTAACATGCCCATTATGGGCATCTGCCAGCAGCGGCCCTCTGGGCCCTGGCACCGTCTATGTATGGGATAACCATGGTGAGGAAGGAAATTGCTTTTCATGAGATATTCTGGAGTCAAAGGAGTCCTCAGACTGGTTGAATACTTCCAGCCTTCTTCTCATTACTCTCTATAAGAATTAATTATGATGACATAATATTGTCTTTAGCCAAACAACTAAACTGTCATGATAAGCCAAGGCACAATGCAAAACTTAATCTGTTCCATGGTTACCTGACTTTTTGTTATAACCAGCTGTGATCACACAGTAAGACAATTACTTGCTTTCTGTTTTTAGCTTGTCATCCACAGCGAAATCTCATTTGTCCAAAATCAAATTATATAGCTGTGAATTAAAGTATGTCCTTATTGGCTGTGATTATTGTTGCTTCCTAGAGGAAATGCTCTGTATCTAATTCTCAGTGGTTTCTTTTTAATTAAATTCAAGCTTATTTGCATAGCGCTTTTTGCAATGCATATCATTTTGAAGCAGCTTTACAGAAAATGGTTGTTTTACTGTTATCAGCCAGAGAGTATCGCACTAAAGTAATGCCATTGCAAAGGCTGGATCCAAACTAGAGTTGGTGCAATCTGTAGTTACTTAGGGATTGGCTTTCATAGGTAGAAACAGTGAAGCAGAGAAGAATTAGCATAGCTGTTGTGCATAGCATTTTCATGTGTGTTTGGTACTATTTAATCAGATATCATTTTAGTACAAGAGTTCTGAATTATGTATGTTTTGTTGAACTATCAACTTGGTCACGTATGTTTTAAATTGTTTGGAGAAATAATAATAGACGTCAATGAGAGTGTGGAAAAGGTAAAAATAATCTTGTATTAGAAGAATTTCAGACTTCAGAGTGCAGTTTGAGATTGCTAGGAGCTCTCTGAAACTAGATGTGAGATCATTTACTCAGGACCTTTATTTTTTTTGAGAATCAGGAGACTAAAGTAAAAAAGTCTGATTGCTCCATTTAATCCCATGTCTAGGGGAAACAGTTGAGATCTTATTTGTGATTTTTCTTTTCTTGTGGCTCTGCGCTCAGTTCACTCTGCTGAAAATTTGTCAAGTTGTTACATGTTGATCTCCTCTATGCTTTTTAAACTTTTAATCCCAGGTTAACTTCTTTTTTGATCATGAGTTAATTGACCTTGGTTGAGCACAAGGTCACACAATTTAACACAACTTTGCTTATAATGTACGAAGCCCTGCGCCAGAACAAGTTTGTGCTGAAATGCGGTGCCATCTGTAATCGGTGTAAAGTGTAAACAGTGTGAAACAAGATAATCCTGGACTTTGTTGTCCAAGGATTAAAAATTATCCTAAATTATTTTAAGCGTGAGAATCCCATATTTAGTCTTTACACAACACCATTAACATGGTAGATTGTCCAGTAATGAGATGTATTATAAACTTGAGATGAGAAAATATGTGTTTACCTTTTACACACCTGTGGGACCTTCACACGCTAATGAGTTTGTCAGATGTTGATCCAATGCTTTGCCCACCTCACATTTACCACCTAAGGGCAGCATTGGATCCCTGCTCTGTGAATTTGGTTTGATCTTGGATCAGTGACCTTTGACTTCAGAAAACACTTCGGGGAGCTTGTTTCAGAGGCAGAGCGGCTAGAGGGGAGTTTTGATCATAACTGATTGGAAGTCTAACACACGTAGAGCTGGTTTGTTGTTAGTCTGTGTTTGTCTGCATGGGTTCACTGGTGTATGTTTACAGCTATGAATCTTAAAGCTTCCCTAGATGCAATCTGTGAGCTCCCTTTTTGTAAGTGGCAAAGCTACAAGGATATTTCTTTGCTCACACACATTTTGTCTTTTATAACACCACATGATATCTGCAATCAATTCATCACAGCAAGAGATGGTGGTTGCGTTACGATACATAATGGAAGACACTCAATGCAACGCCTCACTGACTAACACAAGACTTCTACTGGGGTCTTTGATGGCCAGCTGGATTGAGTCCTGTTTGATTATCTTTATATAATCAGAGGAGCCTTGCAACAGAGGACAGGCTTAGATCAATATCACAGTGAGTTATTTTCCTAGACGGCTACCTTTGCATGATCCCAATCGCTCCTGTCTGGTGGTTGGGCAGCAGGGTTGTCATTGTCTACCAAGTTCATGTTTATCAATCGAGCTGTCCGCTATAGAGATTCAACTCTTGCCTATTTAAATAAGACCTCTAATCCTTGCCATCAGTCAAACGCCAGACAGACTCATCATAGAGATAATAGTACAAAAGTTAAATTTTATTCTGGCTGTACCCCTATCCATCACGAATATACTGTTGCCCGTTTAATTAGAAATATGTGGCATATTTTTAGCCCACTCAGTCATAGTTGAGAGATGGATGATGATTAAAATTCAATTTAAAATTTAAAATGTAAAATTTGTTGTCACTTATGGCTTGTTTCCACCAACCTGTACAGTATGATCTGGGATGGTAAACCCTGATGCTGTCCATGACCATGGTACATTGCTGTGTGCCGACATTGTGTTGCAACTGTATATTAAATAATGGTGTCTTATTTGTTGTGAATCCCACTTGTAGAACACTCAGGTGATGATGCTCTGTCAACCAATCAACATTCTGCAGCGAGTCTAGCTCCACCCTTTAGGTGCCGGATTACTGTGCTAGGTACCCCAACGGAAGACTCACAAAAAAGTGGTATAGTTTGGTATTTTGGTACAATTCAAACTTCTCACAATCAAAACTAAGAATTGCATACTGTACTCTCCTAGTGTACCGTACTGCTCTGTGGAAACGAGACATTAATGTCATAGTACTGTATGTTCAAAAAGGGTACAGTTTGTTGTTGTTGTTTTTTTCTTTTTTTTTTTACTTTTGCCTCTTACTGGGATGATCCATTGTGCTTATTATTAAACTATTTCCAAGGTTGAGGTTATAGGATTGCAGGGTGACTTCAATCTGTATTGTTCATCAGGTTTGCTTGCAAAAGAATTTCATCACTACTTACGTCTTGTTCCATACACAAGCCCAAGTCAATTCCTGGCCCCATTCCTGCCATTTCTGAAATCCTCTTAGTGACACTGAATTCAGATTATTACCATGAGTACATTGAATCTGTACCTTTCACTTGTGTGGGATTTTGCTTTCCCAGAAGTGAAAAGTTTGTAGTTGTCATTTCCCTCCAGTCATGGCAGTTGCTGCAAATTTTATGGCCACAAAAGTTAATATCTGTGTCCAAATTCCCACTCTTTTGTAGTGTTTTCAGAATGTGATACTATACAACATACCTCCCGACTGCTGATGAAATGTGTTCTACAGGTATGAAGGTGTGTAGTATGAATACATCCACTATGTTGGCATAGTTCTAAATTGCATTGCTCCAATTGCTGGTTCAAATGTGTTTGATTAGGGTTTGAGCTAAACTGTTGGATGGTAGCCCTTCAAGAGCAGGGTTGGCTACCCTACCCAAGCTTGGTCTAAAGTTTAGCAATGAGCAACAACATCCTTGGTACCTTTACATTTACATTTAACAACTCAGCCAGCTCAGTTTTCGCCCATTTTATTTTAGATTACTCCTCAACTCCTGTTGCCTTATGGCAGTCAGATCCTGCTTCGGGAGGGACAATGTCCTGCAAGGTTTATAGCTCCAACAGGCTCAAAATTACTTGCCTAAAAAGTTTCTAGTAACCCTGAAGACCATTATTGGTTCGATGGTTTGCGTGTGTTTGATTAGGACTTGAGCTAAACTCTACACCACAGTGACCCTTTAGGGGCCTGCCTCGTGGGATAGAAAAGTGCCCACAAGTTGCACACTTTAGAATCCCAGCAGATGCCGAAGTATTGTCCTTAAGCAAACCCGTGTCCCCTCACTCAGTGCATGTGATGTTCAAATGTCTGTTTGGTGTCTTGCAGGAGTTTGCCGCCCTGACGAAAGAGCTGAATGCCTGCAGAGAACAGCTGCTGGAGAAGGAGGAGGAGATTTCAGAGCTGAAGGCCGAGAGGAACAACACCAGAGTGAGTTCACACAGTGTCTCCCAGGCACTTCAAAGAATTGTGCTCCTCAACCATCATCCTGTACTTGTTTACAAAAAAGTCAACTGATGCCCACCCAATGACTTGCGCAGCTAATTCATAATGTTTTTTGCTGCTAATCCATTGCAACAGTCTCTATAGATGAGCTTTGGGTTTAATACTTCACTCTATGTCACATTAGCTGCTCCCTGTGTAAGATTGACACCCAAAGACTTGCACATGTAATCCATGATGTTTTGTTAGAGACAAGATGCTTATGCTGGCTCCAAACTGCATTTACTGATTTTGTTGAGATGCTTACCATAGATTCACAGCGTGTAGTCACAACATTCACTCTTTTATGTCTGCACCAATTTTCATGCGGTTTAATGTCATGAGATGACAGTTGAGTGATAACTTTATCCGTGTAGCGGTTAGATCATAATTCCCTGAAAGTCAAAATAGCAGGCAGGCTGGTATTTTTCAATAAAATTGTCAACAATCATTTGCATGGAATGCAGAGAAACTGCTAAAACATCTGACGAGAACCAGCGCTCTGGCTATCCATTTTACAAGAAAGTACTCTTTCTCACTTCCATTCTTTTCCTGCACCCCTCAGTGCCTGCCTGAGTCACCGGCACACCTGACTCCATGCTGGCTCAATTCAATTAATTACTCGCGTTACTTAGCCGCAGCCAAACGTTTGAAGAGTCAATTATGGAATTGAGGATATTGGATGTATTAAAAACCAGAGGGAAGCATAGATGGAGGGAGATAAGCGGACGTAGTGGAATGGAAAAGGGGAGAGGTCGAGTGAGATTAGAAACAGACTCATTTTAAACAGAGCTTCTAATCCTACACTGGGAGCAGCTAATGAAGTATTTAACCCAAAACTCACCTAGAGAGACTGCTGTCGACTGCAGTGCAACAGCTCATGTAGTCAAGTAAGGGAAAGTGCAGCATTAACAGAGCAATTATACTGAACTTAAGCATGTAGATGAAATACACAGGATGGACATGGCACCTGTTTAAGTAAAATGACACATAATGTTACTGTACATACAGTATATTGATTTAAGATCATTGCTGAGATTCATGTATTAGCTCATTTCTGTGACGGCACCTGTGTTAATCTAATCCACGTAAACAGATTCGCACAGAGGTAGAGAGAGTAACCTAACCTGCATTATCCGGCTATAGGGTTGTTTTAGTGCTGAGCTGGCGCTGGGAAAGACAGAGGCTGGCACAGACTGAGGGTTATGAATGAGAGAGCAAGGAACTGGGCAGAAATAGAAAGGTCAGCTCCTCGATAGGTCTCTAGAGCAGCGCTGCTACAGTACTGCCAGTACAGCCCTCGGGCAGGTACATGTGCTACTGCAGCCCTAATGCTGTGTTACATTCAACTAGAGAAGCCTACTTGGCAGAAGCTGAACTCCATGCTTGGAAATTTGAAACTTGTGGAAACCAACTAGAATATTGATTTCACCAGCATGCTAAAACAGTTTACTTTTAGCTAAAATGTTATAATTTTGCATTACAGTTAATTGTATTTTTTGTCTTTAGCAGTTTCCTTACAGTAAGCTTTAGTTTGAGATATTATTTTAGTTTTAGCTTTAACTTTTTAAGACTATTAACTTTATTGATAGAGATTTAGCTAAAAATAATGCTTTAAAGTGCCCCTATTATGCTATTGTATTTTAAAGGTTCCTCATTTTGTTTTGGAGTTCTCCGTAACGAAGTGGGATTCGAATTCTTGATGACTCATAAGCAGTTTGGAGTCGATTTCTTCTTTTGAGAGACAATAATAACTTTATTTATCGTGCACTTTCAACTTTGCAGATCATTCACAGACAGCTCATTCACACATTGCATTAACGGAAATAAAAAAAAATAGATTTAGGCTAGTTTTAGCATTAGTCTAAGTTTATCTTTAGATTTAGATTCAGTATTTACTGCAGCTTTAGATGCAATTCAGCATTATTCTGAGCAGGTTTCCTGAACAAGGGCATTTCAAAACAACATAGCCAATTTAGTGGCGTTAAGTACTATGTACTTACATTGAAATTAATAATTTGATACAATGGACTTACATACATGTTTTTACATTGTACTTAAATTTAAAAATTCCAGCATTTAATTGCAGCAATAATTAATTTATGTAACTACATTTGTAATTACACAGTTGACCCTCCCCTCACACCTTAACCTACCCTTAAACCGACCCATACCACCACACCTGTCCCTAACCTTACTCGTATCACACCTCAATAGCAGCTAAAGTGTTTTACAATACAACAGGAACACAATAATACATTGTACTTATTGTTCAATGTAAGTACATAGTACTTAAAACCACTTAATATAAAGTGGGACCCAATTTTACTTTACATTCTCTGTGTCACATCCATAGCACTGTATGTCCACTCCACTCATCTAAAGCCAGACAGTTCTCGCTCTCTCCCTCTCTCTTTGTACTTGGGACTTTGGGACCGAATTGATTTTTTATGCTATGTACCAGACCAGAGAGTAACCATATTAACATAATCTTCTTTGTGCCGGGTCCAGGGGGTTTCAATTTGTTGTGTCTGCTTTATTGTTTCAAGTAATGTAATGGGTTTTCTTGTGTGTAATGTTGTTAGCTGTCTAAAAGGGTTCCCTTGTAAAATGAGAAAAGACCAAATGGTGTGTTAAGCACATGTCATTAATTTTCCATATGAAGAATGTCCTTGAGGGTTTAGTGATATGACCTCATGTTGCAGCATAATACATTTAGTTTCATTTTTAGATAACTTACTAAATATTTGATTTCGTTTTTAGACTTAGTTTTGATTTTATATTTATCTGTTTTATTTATATTAATTTTTTTTTTTAGCTTTAGATTAAGTTTGGGTTTTATAGCTTTAATTTGATATATTATTTAGTTTTTAAGTTTTTTAAGTTTTATTTAGTTATATATATATATTATTTTACATTAAGATTTAGATTTATTTGTATGCTCTATATTTCATATTTGGCTAAAGTTTAAGATTTAGATTTTGTTTCCCTTTTAGATTAGCATTTAGGGCTTTCTGATAGACTTAATTGTGGTAATTTTAGCTACAAAGGTAGTATTAAATGGTTTCAGTATTACATTTGGTTTAATGTATTATGTTTGTAATAGTAATTGAGGATTATGATGCCAAACTCCTTGTATGTACCACAGCTGCTGTTGGAGCATTTGGAGTGTTTGGTTTCGAGGCATGAACGTTCCCTACGCATGACAGTGGTGAAACGACAGGCCCAGTCTCCTTCTGGCGTCTCCAGTGAGGTGGAGGTCCTCAAAGCTCTCAAGTCCCTCTTTGAGCACCACAAAGCACTGGATGAGAAGGTAAACCGCAGCAGATCAACACCTGCTGAGATTCCTGTTGTTTTGTGTTGAATTCTTAAAGCCAGCACTATGCTGTTTACACTTTACCACTGTGTGTTGCAAATGTTAATGTACTGCCTGTGAAAATTTGATAAAAATCTAATATAAGTGCATATGTGGCTTTCCAAATACAGAACCACCTGTTGATGTTAATCCATATAATACATAGGCTGACCGATCTCTGACCGAACTATTTTAGTAACTAAAGTAAATTTCTCTCCTGATTTTATGGCAGTGATGTTGAAGTACATTTATTAAACTGTGCAGTCCACTGTCCCGCCTATCTTTTCCTTTATCCAGGGGCGTTTTATTTATGGATTAAGCCCTTGTGTGGTGGTTCATCAAGCTGTAATCCATTCTGTGGCCTTCTCCAGAGTGTGTCATTTATAAGGCATTTGGTAACAGACGGCAGGAAATTGCACGTGATTTATGGGACTGTAGTTTTAGTGACGACTGGACGTCCAGTGATGAAAGATTGAACCCGCTGAAATGATTCCAGTGATCAAACAGGTCACCAGAGAGACTGATTAGTGTTTTTATTGTTGGCCCATTCTGTTCTCTGTAGAATTTTGTTATATAATCTGATATAATATTTGACATTTGTCATACAGTACCACAACAATAGCTTAATGAAAATAAAGATGTTGTGTGTATGATATCATGTTTATAGGTCATGATAGAATAATTAAATATACTGTAAAACTAAACTAGAATTTCATTACATTGTAATTCTACTCTCGTAAAATCTGTAATTTTGCTACCACAAATTCGATTGTAAATCAGTAATATGAAAAACATGTTCAGTTCTGAGTAGAGTGTTTTTTTTTTCTTTTGTTCAGGTACGAGAGAGATTGCGGGTGTCACTAGAGCGGGTCTCTGCCTTGGAGGAGGAGTTGGCCGCAGCCAATCAGGAGGTGAGGCACAAATGCTCTGATGAGGTCAGGTCATCCTCATTTATACTGTACAGCGCTTTCAACAATGTAGATTGTTTCAAAGCAGCTTTACAGAGATAAACTGAATATAATTCAAGGTAACATAGATTGGTTTGGTTTTATAGCGGTTCTTGAATAATGTTGTTTTCCACCTAGTTTAGTTTTGATTGATTCACTTCTGTTCAGGTTATACATTAATTCCATATTTATACAGGAATCTGCACCAGAAAGGTACTTACTATAAGATGAATATACTCCATAAACATGCCAAATATGTTTAATTTGTTGCTATGCCATGTTGTTTTCGGCTGATCTGATTATTTTTATAATTATTAGTGTGAAATGCAACAGAGCAAACAGAACATTGTGTATTTTAGTGTTTATTCTAGTACTGGCTGTCCAGATGGTGCAGTTCTAGTTGAATAAGCTTTTCAAACTTCTCAACAAGAGCCAAATGTATTTATTTTATTTTAAGATATATTTTATATTGAGAATATGTTGGGCACTCTGTGTGTTATAATTTTCTTAGTTTCTGAATTAACACTTGTGTGTTCTCTTGGGGTCATAGGAGAGGCTGGCGGGGTGACTTCATTTCCTCCATTTATATTTATTTACAATAAATTAATATTAAATAAATAAATAAATATTTCAACAATTCAATGATTGAACTTAATATGTAAACTATGCAATTCAAAATTCACAACATCTTAAATAAATCATATGTAAAAATCTAACAACTGCACAAATCAAGACCAACAGCAAACAGACTGGTGAGAACATTCTCACTTATATAGACACGGCGCAGTTCTTCTCGACAACATCAACCATGTGACAGGAAGATTTGCTGTTAATTCTGTTTCTGGGAATACGCGAGGATTTCAATTGAGGCTGCTTTTTAAATTCATCCAGCCTCTATGTTGCCCAAGTTTACTGGGCAGAAAATATATATTTAGTATTAGTATTAGTCATTCAGAAATTTCATGCTATTGAATAACTGTTCATTGATGTTAAAAGGACATTCACACAACTTAGTGAATTGCAGTGGCAGTTTGGGCATGTTGAGATTCCAGGCTGGTGCTTTTGGAGAAGCCCAGACGTCACTTATTAAAGCAAAGTGTATGTACTTAAGGTTATTTTAAGATGTCTTCTGTCTGTGTTAGCAGTGTGTGAACTGTTAAACTATTAAAAGATCTGAAAATACTGAAACAGTGAAAAAACTTAATACCCAGACAACCTACCATAAATGCAGTGTAGATCCACGCTAATCTATGACAGTGGGTCTCAACCTTTTTGACTTTTAAGCCCCGCATTGTCCAATACTATATCCGGAGAAACCCTAAGCCTTCAGAAATAATCTGAGCCAGTCGCCTTGTCGTAACTCAGGTCTTCATAACTGATTGTTTTCTCACCATCTAATCTACTCAGACATTAATATGTGGCCTTGTTAGGAGGAGATGATCAGCGATATTCACTTCACCTGAATTGAGGTTGATTGGGATACAGATACAATTGGGATACTTTTTCCAGTCATCTCAATAGCAAAAAGTGTCCAGAATAAACCTGAATTTACCCTAAATATATAATAGCTGCCAGGCAGAAACCTTGCACCCATTCTGATGAAAGACAAAACGTGGTCAAAAGCCTCATAACTCATTTGAGCTTGATTTTGGTTAAATGTTAATAATCTAATGACACATGCAAGTGTGTGTCCATAATGCCACAATATCAACGTTGATAACGCTGTGTTTATTTAAAAATATTACATTTTATTAAATTATTAAATTTTTTATTAAATTATTTTAAAAAATATAGTGCTTTTTCCTGAAGTAGCTTTTTTGGAGATACGAGGTTTGCACACGATATAGTACTTTGGATAATACTACTGCTAGTCTTGTAAAATACATTTGATTTGATTAGATACTTTACTGTTATATGTCTGAAGAGAATTTTTCCATTTGATTAGTTCAGCTTTTTCTGCCTTCATAAATCTCAGCTATGCTCTCAATGCCAATCTCAGATTTATCAAGAGTGCTTCATTTGTGCACAAGTATTACTGAACCATCTGAAATTCAAGTTCATGTTAATATCTCAGTGTTAGCGGGAGCACTCAACCCATTCAGGTGCATCACAAAGATGAATCCGGTTTCTGTGAAGTAGTTGTTTTCGGTTTGAAACAAACCAGCATTTCAGGCACAGCCGCTCTTTTACGTGCTTCTCTTTGATGAGACCAAATGAACGACATCAAAGCGTCCATGCTCACTTTCATTGGGCCTCCACTTCTCATTTACCTTCATTTGCAAGTTGACTCAATATTCCGGCTCTTTGTGGAGTCAGAAGGTGTTTGATCTTCAGACCTTGAAAAATAGCAGACAGTTCCCTTTCTGTCCCTTCAAAAGTGTGTGAAACCCCTTAATTGCCGCCTCATTAAAGGAATGCGCGGCGAACGGCGATAAACCAAACAAAAGAAAGCGGATGTCTCCCTTATTTCCATCCATCCACGTATCCCGCTTTCTCTGTGTTCACAGTGGACAGAGCGTCTCAACACGGGAGTGGAATAATCTCCCAATGCCCTTTAGCCTGGAGAGAAAACAATGTGTGTGTTGGTGTGACAGTGCTCATCAGTCAGATAACCTGCTTAAAGATGCTCCTGGAAGAATACTAGGTTATTTTATTAGGGAGCATATGCCATCTGACATGGTCAGCAACTTCTGCTTCTATATTTGTATGCACTGCAGTTTTACAGTATTGGGCTGTGGCAGTTTTGTGCTGGTCCAGATATACTGAATTTTATCATTTACGTTATAATGTCAAATATAGCGGCGTTCAGTGTTGTATACACCAACAAAAATTATTTGAAGTTTCCTTTAACTGACAGATAAAATCCTGTGAGATCGCTTCAGAATGTTAACACTCTATATCACACTCATTTAAGAATACTAGTCCTGTGACAGCACCGTGACGTGTCATGTGAAGTCTCTGAAGAAACACTTGACATGACAATGCCCTTAAAGGGATCATGTAATAAAATAAAACTTTATTTGTTCTGGAAAATATGGTGGGTGGTTGATAATGGTCCACCTTCTCTCTGTCTAATAATTAAACAGGCTGTTTTGTGCTGCTGCCGTGCCTTTAAGACTTCCTTGAAAAATTCCTTCTCTGTAAGCAAAATAAATAACATAATTTATGGTTTGCGGATCCAGTACATTCATTCCATTTTCTGATATGTAGAAGAATATCAGTGACCAGATATTATCAGTTTCTGGTCTCATTGACTTCCATAGTAGGAAAAAATAATACTATGGTAGTCAATGAGAAACTGTCTGGTTACTGATATTCTTCTACATATCAGAAAATCGGCTGAATGGATTCGAAAACGGTAAAACTCAACTGTTTAACTCTGAGGGAGTTGTAAAATGAGCCTATTTCCCGAAAAAGTGGAGTGTCCCTTTTAAGTTTGGTTGTTAAATGATCAGTTTGAGACGTTCTCGGTGCCTTTGAAACTGTACATTTTCAATTAAAAAATTGCCATATGAAGCGAACACTTCTAAGCTGTCTGATTTATGATGCTTTTTTGCTGAATCCTTGCAGTTTAATGAGAATCAACAATATATATTTACATCATACAAAAATGACCTTGGAAAACATACATGTACATACACTCCAGGAAAGGTACGGTATCTGTCTCCACACTATGGATATCTGGTTTGTTGTTTCTTGACTTGGTTTACCAAATAATGATAGTAATCACTTAGAATGTGACATGATATGTGTAGGATGTCTTTGAAACTCTAGGAATGTAACAAAAATTTGCATCCGGAAGCCAGAACGCCGAAAAGTTGCTCTAGTATTAATGCTGCATATGAATATCCAATTTTAGGATTTGTTGTATCAGTGAAGTCTGTGTCAGATAAAGTGTTCCTGTTTTGTCATTACTGTTTGGTACGGTATATTATTTGCCATATTGTCCTGGTAAACAACACAGCACAGCGTGTTTTGATATCAATATTGCTTGTTATCTTATCTTATTATCTTTCATTATTTCTCTTTTATATTGTGCTTTTGCAGATTGTGGCCTTAAGGGAGCAGAATGCCCACATTCAGAGGAAGGTGGCATCAGGAGATGGGGCAGAGGACTTGTTGGAGGGAACTGATGCCCAGAAAGTCCACGGCAAGGTGGGCACTTACTCTAAACTGCCTCAGAGTGCTGCGTTTTCTATATAAATGTTTATATTTTCCAGAAAAATCTTAACAAACCCAAACCTTTGAATGTGACTGTACATAATTGGTGTCTTGAGGTGATTTATTTTGATGTACAAGTCCAGTAGAGAAGAAAGAAACTACTGAAAATCAGTTTTTAAACACAGAGGTGTACAATAAAATCAATAAGCCTTCACTATACAGTCAACACACACAGTCATCCTGTCAAACTGCATTTCTAGATGACATTAAATATCCCAATAAACCAATCGTAGTAGACTCTTGCCTCCTGATGAAAAGAAGCGTCGTCCTGCTCTCACCGTCCCCATTGGGCGCTGTGTTGTGCGGAATTAGATTGTGTTGGCATGGTGACAGTGATGGCAGGAATTTGTGGCCTCGTAGAAGATAAAGGTTGGCACTTTGACGGTGTATCTCAATTGGCCAAATGAATCTCCCATGATGCTCAATAGATTTAGTAGCAGTACTGACAATATCCAGGGCCTCTGGCACTGATGCATGGGTCCAGCCTACCAACTAGAGGTCATTGGTTTTGCCTGTACGTTAAACAAACAAACCTGACCCTCCGAAATAGATATAGAGAGAAAGAGAGTGAAAAAAAAAGTGGCAGTGAGTCATTACCCTACAGCCGCTCCAGAATAAACCACTGCTATTCTTTGTCTTGTCATTCTCATCTATTTGCGATCACAGAAGCTCTTCTGGTGAAGTCGTGTCAATCTCTCGCGGCTTCACAGCTTTGACGGAGTAAATTCAGTGTGCTCTGCAAATTATTTTATCACCCTTCTGTCCCACAGTTTGCAGCCATAAATTAAACGGGATATAAAGTCTAATTTTAGTGCGGCATAAGACGTGTCAAGTTTCAGTGTGAATATGTGACAGAAATCTTTATTTTAGGCATGGCTGAGGAAATATCTGCTGAGCCTCTGTTCACACACTCAGAATGCAGTTAGACGGAAATGAGGATGCTGGGAATTAAAAAAGTCCATATAAAGAACCGCACAAACTAGCTGAAAACATGATGATTATTGTGTTTCTATCATGTTATATGTTTGACAGCAGTTCAACCTATTTGACGGAGTGTCTAGCTTTTCATTTCTTAAACAATCATGGCTGACAATGTCAAGATCCACCAGGCTCAAATTGTTAAAGAATGGTTGGGAGAGATTCATTGAAAGTCTTTGGGATGTGCTGGAGGAGACTTTATAGAGTGCTGCTGGATCTTGACCAAAAATGTATGCACGTCTTGATGGAAATACTGTAACATCACATGATTTCATGTTCATGTTTAAATGTTTATCATTTTTCAAGTAAAGGAAATGTTTTGCATGGTTGTAGTTTTAGCTTTATTTAAAGATGCTAAATTATGCTGAATTAGTTGATTTTATTTGGAAATCCTTCATTTATTTGGTTTAATCGATCTCACAACCCTAAAGGAGAGTGTATTGTGTGTGTTTGGGCTGCAGCGGTTGTCTAACGGGTCGATGGACTCGGGGGACGAGGCCAGTCAGGTGGTGGAGCTGCAGGAGCTGCTGGAGAAGCAGAACTACGAGCTGGCTCAGATGAAGGAGCGCATGTCCTCCCTGTCCTCCCGCGTGTCCGAGGTGGAGCAAGAGCTGGAGACGGCCCGCAAAGACCTCATCAAGAGCGAAGACGTGAACAACAGGTTCCAGAGAGATATTAAAGAGGTGCAGTATATGGGAATATGAGAATTAGGCTGTACACCGAATTCAATGTTTGAAGCTGTGCAACATCCTTTCTACCCATTGAGAGTTTTCTTAAAAGGTGCCGCCTTAGAATATTCTGCCCGGCTCCTGGCTCTGAATGACCATGCTTCTTCGATTTTGGACACTGACTCCATTTTGATAATTAGTGACAGCCGGTCTGGGAGTCTGGGAAATGTCTGTTGAATTGGAGATTCAGCTATGGAAGAGAGAGGGAGGTTGTGGCAGCCCAAGGCTAAGTGTGTGTGTCTCTCCATGTCCGAATGTGTGCATTTACCTGTGTTGATATTTGTCCTCAAGCCTGTATTTAATTATAGGGCAGGATTTTTGATTGACAGCAGACTATTACACCTGCAGGCTCCTTAGGTGTGTGTCCACTAACCAACAGTCTGCCAATATATTTGTGTGATAATACAGGCTATGTGTCAGAAAGAAGACATGGAGGAACGGATCGTGACTCTTGAGAAGCGCTATCTCAGTGCCCAGAGAGAGTCCACGTCGCTACATGACATCACTGACAAGCTGGAAAACGAACTAGCCAATAAGGAGGCGTTCCTCAGACAGGTCAGGTTTTGACCACTTGTTTTCCAATTTCCTTCTCCATTTCCCTTTTGTATTATTTCAAATTGCTTTGATATGTTGCAATTACTTTCCTTCCGTATTCATACATGTGTGAAGGCACAGATGTTTTGAACTTGATGGAACAGTCATGGTCATGGTCAAGATGACACCATTTCTTGTCCTGCCAAATGATCATTTAGCAAGATTTCTTGAGTGCCTTAAAAGATAAATGTTTTGAACATATTATAGAGATAAAAGGGCATGGCAAACTAGACAAACCATCAAAATTAATAATTCAGACACAAATGGTAAATGTTAAATGGACTGCATTTATATAGCGCTTTCACAGACCCAATGGCCACAAAAAGCGCTTTACATTTTGCCTCACAATCACCCATTCACTCACTCATTCATACACCGACGGCGGTGTCAGCCATGCAAGGCGCCATTCAGCTTGTCGGGAGCAGCTTTAAATTAACACTAAATTAAATTCTGTCATTATTTACTCATTTTGTATGAAGTCTTGTCTGAATTATGTTAATTTGGCATTATTATTGTTTTACTTTTTTATATTTTCAGTTGTACGTTTTTGTAATTTGCTTTTGTCATTTTTATTATTATTTATATTTAGGGTTTCATTTATTTTTATTATTTATTTTATTTTACTTTTTTGTCTTATTTTATTTCAGTTAGTCACCATGACAATATTTCTAAATTTTCTTCAAAAATGTTGGTTTCACTTTATTTGTTGACTATAAGTAGGGTTGCCAACCGTTCCGTATAATACAGAATCGTTCCATATTTGTCACATAAAAGTCTTGTTCCGTATTGAACTGATACGGAACGCGCTTTGTTCCATATTTTTGGAGAATCAGTTCAGTGCAAATCCATGACAGACACATCTTCTAATATATCTCAGACAGACTATGAATGAAGACGTCACCAGTTGACCCACTCCACTCGTGATCGACTAGTTTTACCCATAGACTGTAGGTTTTACCGCAAGAATATCTTCTAATCTAGAGCGATCTTGCCTGCGAGCTTCAGCTTCTAACGGCGCGGACGCAAAACCAGGACTGGAGTCAGAGCACATTCCTCTCTGCACTCTAAGCGTTCTGTTATCACTCTGATTTCGTCCACTACGGGTTTTCCAGTCTCACTCAGGAAAAACTGTTCCGCGTTCAATCGATTTTAAAAGATAATCTTATGTTTTACTGACTGCTCCCCCGCAAGATTTTTTTCTTTTTCACATTTTAAGGTTAAATGCATCAGATCAGATCAAAATTAAGAGAGCTTCAACCCATGAACTGCTCGTTAAACAAAGATAAAGCATTGATTTGTACTAACAATAAAGAGGACTCAAACATCTTTTTAGTTGTGAGAGTCTCAGTCTACATTACATTATCAATGGTGTTTTCGGATGCCAAACAATTATTATAATAATGTAATAATGATTTATATAATTATTCCTATGACGTAAAATCCATATGGCCTATATAGGCTACTATATAAATGAAAATTAATATTTCAAAAGTATATTTTAATCAACATTACACTATAATATAGGAAAATTAAAATACTTTTGTCCTATTTCTACACTTACAAGAAATAAACCCTTGAGCTTTTATTTATGCTGATCGGGTGATTAATTCAACTAAAAAAAAAAAAATTATAAACTAAATAAATCCATGGTTCTTTGTTGGCAAAATGATCATGATAACCTTCATATATATAGAATATGTGGTACACAGTCATTGATTAGGCATACTTTGCTATTCTATAAATTAATATAGGCCTAATAAGTGATTATAATATGCTATATGAATTCCAAAGGTCATTACCGAACCCCCCCGTTCCTTATTTCGAAATCAGAAAGTTGGCAACCCTAACTATAAGTAACGTTGCTCCTACATGTCAACTAACTCTCATTAGAGTGTTAGTAGAGTATTAATAGACTGGTAGGGTTAGGGTTAGATTAAGTTGACATGTTGCAAAGTTACTTATAGTCCGTAGAGTGTCTGTTGGAGGATCATCACAATAAAGTGTTCTTAAGTGATATTAAGCAGACAATCTACTAATACTCTGATGAGAGTTAGTTGACGTATAGTTTTAAAGTTATTTATAGTCAACAGCACGTTCAAAAGGGACCATCAAAATAAAGTGTTACCAACATTTTTGTATAGTATTTATATATAATTTCAGCTTTATTTCAATACAATAGTTAGATAGTTTATTTATAGTTAGCAATTAAAACATCTTGTTCCTAATAAGATAGTGAATTGAGTTTAAATGTTCTAAGAACAAGCAAAAAATAGGAAGTTATGTAATTGTGTTTGTTTAGGCACACTAAAAATGGCCACGTTGATCCACTTGTTGCTGTGGAAGCTGGAACGTCCTATGATGTCTGCTATTTTTTGATAAACTCTTTCTGATCAGACAGTGTGTGTGTGTGTGTGTGTTTGTTCCCACAGATGGAAGAGAAGAACAGGCAGTTACAGGAGCGGCTGGAGTTGGCAGAACAGAAGCTCCAGCAGACCATGAGGAAAGCTGAGACACTGCCTGAAGTCGAGGCTGAGCTAGCACAGAGGATAGCAGCTCTCACCAAGGTACCACCCACACACACACTCACACAGACACACTAGCTGTGCATTTAATGAATTGAATACGTAAAGTGCAGGAGCATCTGGGAACACTTATGTTAAGTGACTCTTAAATTAATTCGTAAATTGTTTTTTAACTTATTTATTGAAGTGAACCATCAAAATGCATTATTGACACAAATGAATCAGACAATACTACTTCAGAACAATACTACTTTAGACTCAGAGAGCGACCAATACATCAAACTGTGGCCCGTATTGGGCTCAAATATTCAGGCGAGGGGTTCAAGGGCCATTTTGAGGTGGTTTCTCTTTCTGACCACTGCACATTTAGAAGCTCTAAAAGATCTTGTCTGCTTGGTGCAAAGCATTATATTGCACTTAGTCTAAATTTATTATGTGCATTGATCAGCATAAAAACTGTTGTGTGTGCTGAAGTTTTGAAGGGCCATATGGTTAAATATATCATTATATATTTTTTGGTTTGCCTGGCATCTGTTACCACCATGTACAACAATCACAAATTTTCACCAAACACAGAAGGCTTAATTCCTTTTGTTCATCATTTTATGCGAGTTATTTCCTTTTCACAGTGATTACTGTACATAGGCAAAACAAATATGTTCTTTATAAAGTTAAATAAAAATTAGCATTATTATACCATTATCTTCATGAAGCAGGAATATTTTTTAATTATTCCTTTATAAATTGTTATATTAGTTACATATTAACTTTATACAAAATTATGTTATTATGTTAATTCTTTCTTTATGAAATAAAAATAATGTAGGTGTGGGACTTGATTTTGTCCATTGAGAATGATTAGAAGTTGGATGGTTGTGATTTGCTGTGATGTCATGTGAGTGACAGGTTGTCCCGCCCTCAATCCATGCAGTAAATACATCATCAGAGAAGAGAAGAGATGTTGCTGTAAGAGGGAGGGGAAGTTATTTTGATTAAAGTCTACGAGAGCACTTGAATTTGATTTCATGGTGACTTCAAAGAAAAACTAAGCAAGTACAAGACAGAAATTAAAGACTTGATCAGTATTTAAACCATCTGATAACAAACTGCTGTGGTAACATTTACTGTCAGAAATGATTCATATGCTTTTCATTATTAATATTGTGTGTTATTTCTCTGTATTGTGGTTTGGTAGTCTGATATGGTAGCTAAACTCCAGGACGTGAACTGCAGTCTTAGGAAGGTGGGGCTGAAAGCCGCTCTCTCTCTCTCTTATTCACTTCACTTTGCTCTGTGTGGTTGTGGGTCTGTTCACTGCTGGTGTATTTCAGCTTCATGTGATGCTCAGCTGGGATTTTCTTCGCTTTAATGAGTTGCTGACGTACTTGGTTCTTTCTGTTCACCCACGAGATAACAGAAGCTCAAGGAAATAAACACTCCTTCTTTTTACCTGTCTGCTCAACCACATCTGTGGTGTTTAGTGTGACGGTACTTCATGAACCAAACGCACACTCTCATTTTGATTCGAGCCATCATCACATGGTTCTTGGGTCTTTTCTCTGATGGTTTGGGCTAATTTGTGGATTTACATTTCCTGATCTGACAAAATACATTGTGTGTGTGTGTGTGTTTGTTGTTCAGGCGGAGGAGAGACACGGCAGTATCGAGGAACGTATGAGACATTTAGAGGGACAGCTGGAGGAGAAGAACCAAGAACTGCTCAGGGTCAATATCACTTTACATCATTAAATCATATTCTTTTTAGGAATTGCATACTTGTATACTATGTACTATTTTTACAGTATGCTTACATAGTGCAGAATGTACATTTTCTGTTTATATGGAATATCCAAGTTGCCACCCAAATATGCAGTATAAAACAGCATTCTTCGTGGAAAACTGTATCCCACAATGCAATGCACTCTACCTTGACCTTCCATTTCCATGATGAAGAAACTGGCAGCAAAATCAACCATGATTATTGTCTAATTCTAACGGGTTATTTAATTGAACTGCCAAAAATAGATAATATACTTTTTTAATTCCTACATACCCGGGCAACATTTGCAAAATTAAAACGCTCAGAATGCGAGCGAGCGAGAACATTTTTTTGTTGTGAATTCAAAACTTTTACTTACTGTATCAATAAACAGTGCCATTTTGCAGTGTTTCTCCAAATCATACCTCAATGCAAATTTAGCCTAAACAGAAAATTTTTAAACTGATGTCTTCCTAAAAAACATCATACAATGCTTGGGTCTCTGAGGGTTATACATGCTATTTACTCAGGTCATATGACCACATTTCAGCATACTATTTAATTTTTATTTAGCATGCAATATATAGTGTGTATAGTATAGTATTTCATTCCGAACCAGAAACATTGTCTTTACTGATTTAACATTAAATCTTTCCACACATATAAACATAGGTCAAAAAGAGACAACACATTTTAAAATATTTAATTTGTGTGAATATAATGTCAAAAAAATAAATAAAATAATAATAATTATAGATAAAATGGTGTATTCTGTTTCCTCAGGCTCGACAGAGAGAGAAGATGAACGAGGAACACAACAAGCGTCTGTCAGACACTGTGGACAGACTCTTGACCGAGTCCAACGAGCGATTACAGCTCCACCTGAAAGAGAGGATGTCCGCTCTTGAGGAGAAGGTGGGAGACGATCCAACCGGCAGTACCAATGACTTCCGACCACGTCAATCACTCAAACCGTTTCCTTTGCTTCTCTTTCAGAATGTGCTAATACAAGACTCTGATAACTACAGGAAGCAGTTAGAAGACTCCATTCAAGAAAAGGTCATTAGTTTTCATTTTCCGAAAACTAGCTTGGCTGAACAAATTTTAATGTAATGTTTTGCTACCCATTCTGAGTAAAATGAAACTTTAATGTGCTTTGCGGTTGTAGTCTCACCTCTCGGATGAGATAGAGAAACTGAGATCTGAGCTGGATCAGTACCGGATGAGGGCAGGATCCCTTACAGAGCCCACACTGTCACGGTGAGACAGAAATCATGAAAAACTAAGAAAAATCCTTTTACAATAAACAGTAGCTCTGTTTCAAATCCCAACAAGCTCGACAGAATTTTAAGGCATCATAGTAGTGCACTCGACATCGCATTTATGTAAGGTTGCAATGCGGTAAATAAAAATAAAAAAGTTGAGAAATGCTGACTATAAATAGATAAAATATGATAAAGCTATAGATAAAATGTACTTTTATATCTTTAAAAAAATGTTTTTATGGTCATAACAGTCGGGTTCTGTAAGTAAAAATCTTTGTTCAATTTTAAAAATAGTTTAAGCTGCATATCAATGTTTGTAATATTATGATTGACCTCATAGCTGGATGGTTTGGTTCATGGCTTATAACTCTTTAACAAAAAAAAAAAAAAAAAACCTATGTGGAAATGAATGTGAAATATAGTTCCAGATCCAAGGCCACTGAAAATCTATTTTTCAGCACCATTGGAGTACTGGGCTGTTAGCTTAGCATCATCTTCAAGTTGTATTGGAATCAAGAGTAAAGTTTCTCATATACTTCACATGAGGATTTATGTGTCAGTTAGAGTCGCTAACTTGTGCTGTTCCAGATCAGTCACTTATTAAGTTCCAATATTGGTTAAGAAAGAGTGCTAATGTAGACAGCAAAGCAGCTCACTAGGTTTTGGAACAGAGGTTACCCTCTGGTTATGCAGTGATATTAATTAAATTACTTATGGCAATTTTAATTTTATATAGTTCTTTCATCGCAAATGACATTTTTTAGCATTGAAAAGTTTATTTAATGTGTCTAAATTCTAGATGTCTTAATGATGGATTGTGGCCTTGATTCCAGGTCCCATCTGGATGCTTCTGGAGATCTGCGTTTCTCTCTGGGTTCTCTTGCCGAGACTCAGTCGGACCATTATCGCTCCACCAAGGTGATCCGCAGACCCAGGAGAGGGCGCCTGGGGTTACGTACTGACGAACAGAAGGTAGGAGGATCTCTTCACCCCCTGTTTCTTGAGCTTTTACTGAACATCACTTCTTTCTGCTTCTCTTTCATCTCCCTGCAGGCTAAGTCTCTGGGAGAGCACGAATGGCGCTCTCAGCAACTTGGCGTTCTGGGCGGCCACCCGTTTGAGAGCGACACGGAGATGTCGGACATTGATGACGATGACCGAGAGACCCTTTTCAGCTCGATGGATCTACTGTCTCCTGGAGGACATTCAGATGCTCAAACCCTTGCAATGATGCTGCAAGAACAACTGGATGCCATCAATAAAGAGATCCGGTCAGTCTATTCATTGTGACCACTGCACCATTTGATGACTTAAGTCTTAATTGTCTGCTTAGAGATTGAGAAGAGGTCTTACTTTCAAATGGCTTTAAGGTCTGTTATGTAATACACCTGTATAGCAATGTAAGAACATTATATTTCTTAAACATATCACCTCAAAGATCACCAAGGAAAATTTAGTGAAAATCGAGGGGCTTAAGACTTAGCCTTGCTGCACACCTTTTTTTTAGCATTGTTAGGTTTGTTCAGTTACACTACTACAGGTAGGATCTAAACCAGGCAGGAATCTGTCCAAAAATTCCAAAAATATTTTTAAGCCTGTCCAAAAGATTTTTAACGTTATATCAAATTACTAGCAGAAAAATATAGCCCTGGTTGGATTACAAAGTAATATGTTACTCTGACAAATGTAGCTGTGGGGCCTGAAATCTGACTCTCTGATATGGTGGATGTGATGAGGTTCAGGTGTTGGAAAGAAGAAGACCGGGTCGGTGTGACGGGGACGGTAGGGTGCGTCCACACACTGTGTTCACCGTAAATCACTACGGCACAAAATAAACAATAAACTCTTTCCGCTATACGAGTTCTCTTTCCATGATCCACGATCACTCTTTACACTGCCTAGCCGGCGTACAAGTCCTCCTCTCTCTCTCTCGTCTCACACTCCACAGCGGCTTATATCCGGTCTGTCTTGACCCACTCGCTCGTCTCCTTTCTCTCTCTCTCCATTTACAGACCTCGCGGAACCACGCCCCCCTCGCCACTGTGGGAAAACGTGTATTAATTAATGAAAAAACATGTTTGTGGTTCTTGTGAGTCATTTAGCATTAGATTAAAGTAAACATTTACAAATGTTCTCTGAAAACATCATTTATTTGTTATTTAAAAAATTCATGGTCATAATCTCAAAAATGAAACCTCAAGTGGTCTTTTAACTCTGGTGGAGTTGACGCTACAGTAGTTGCCGAAAGTCAGAGCAAGTCTGTTGAGTTTGGGCAGTCAGAGTTGACAGATTTTTACAGAAAATAGTGTGATGTATGATGGGCACAGCCTCCGATGTGTTTGGTTTCACATATTGAAACTCACAGGATATGAAATATTAAGTAGATTTGATGTGTTATGTGTCCCCTAGCAGCGGGGTATATGTTACTGCATGAGTTTGTTGTGTTCCGAACCATTTAAATTATGCGCAGATTTTAAAAGTTGTGTCGTTTTTTCCAGACTTACCAAATCTCATTTACCGCTATTCTTTCCTGCATTTTTACTGGCGCTTTTCACTCTGTAATTCTCCTGTAAATATTTACATATGATTTTTGTTTATTTGACATTTATTAGATGACTTTCATCAAAGTAACTTGTACACTTGGACAAGTTCCTTGACTATTATCCCAGGAGCTTTATGTGAAAATACAGCATGGGGGATTCAATTTTTAAACTTTGTGTCTTAAAAGATGTAAAAGATGTATTATTCAAGATTCCCTCCATAATCTACTAATAACCTTGTACTCCCTAGCTAATTGCTTTGCTGTATTTTTTGTTTGTTTTAACTGTCAAATCTATTAAAACTTGTGCATTTATACAGACTCGGAATCAGGATTCTGCTACACGCAAGCCCTAGATTGAATTGAAAACAATAAGAAGTGCTGCAGAAAGCAGAGTTGTGCCTTCAGGCAGCGTATATGCTGATTTAAATATCAGCCAAAGCTCAGGACTTCTCCTGTAGGCTGTCCAGTTGTTATCGAACAAGATAGGTTGAGTGAAATGTAACGGCTGTTCGATATCACACTTCTATCACCTGCCATCGACGTGTCCTGTCTGTCGATTTCCCACACATATTGGAGACCCTAGACTGGATGGGCACTTGCACCTAAGGTTGTCAAGAGCAAATGAATGACTCCAATTTTCATTGCGATCTAATTTAAATTTTGTCCAATTCAGTGGAAATGTGTCATTAATATTTGATGAAGCCAGAACAGATGGCAAGTGTTTCTTGAGCGTTTTCTTTTCGTGAGCCCCCTTAATGTAAAACCGGTTCATAAAATACAACCTCATATACAATGCGCAGTACAGTATGTGTGTCCAACGTTATTTGATTACCAGTGTACAAATACAGCTCACTGTACTATTAACGTGTGCTTATAATATGTGCTGGTCGTTTTGATTACCGCAGGAAGAAAGATGCTCCCCTGTTTACTTCTCTCCTCGCATTAGTGGTCCGCTTTTGATAAAGCACCAGCTTTGGTGTTTGGCTAAAAGACACAAAACCGTTGAATGCCTTACAACCAACTGTAAACATGTTAAATGCTTGACAAATGGTCAATGTTTAACTGTTTACACCCCAGTCGATGGTTGCTTTACAAGATATTCAATAATCTGAGCCCATGAAAAACATCCACTACAAGAGCTGTCGAAGTTTGCAGTTTGCCATCCTTGAGTTTTGTCGGTTCGTGTCCCCAAGCCTTCACTGACTGAAACTAACCGCATCAGTCTTTGGCCAGTAAAACACAAGCCTGTTATTATTTCTCTGTCCCTCTGAGCTTGTTATTGCATTTATATAGTCATTTTTCTGTGCTCAAACAGTTCAAAGCTTTTCATTTGGCACTATCCATCGTACTAAGGGATAATTAGAGGTTTTAGCTACAGTGTTCGTAGTCTTTTTGCCAATAATGGTTACATATTTTCACCCAGCAAGCTCAGCCCTTCCAGTGATGTTGTAAATCAAAATGCTAGTAGATTATCATCAAATACTTCCTAACTCACTGTGGGCTGAACTGTTTTTCTCTTGTTTCTCCAGGCTGATCCAAGAAGAGAAGGAGTCGACAGAACTGAGGGCAGAGGAAATAGAGAACCGCGTGGCCAGCGTGAGCCTGGAGGGTCTGAACCTGGCGCGGCTTCATCATCCCGGAGCCTCCATGACTGCCTCGGCCACCGCATCCTCCCTCGCCTCCTCCTCACCTCCCAGCGGACACTCCACCCCCAAACTCACCCCGCGCAGCCCGGCCCGCGACATGGAGCGCATGGGGGTCATGACACTGGTATACGAGCTCACGCGTATCTCTGTCCTACAAGGGTCATTTCAGCATTTACAGTAAATTTTCTTTGATACTTTTAGAGATTAGCTGTGCTGACCGTAGATGGAAGAAAATGGTCATTGGAAAATGACATTTTTATTTATTTAAAAAATGTATATGACCTCTTTAAGAATATTTGTTTCATTTAAGCCACATTACTTGCTGGTTAATCCACAAATGAAATGGTATGAAATCTCTCAGTTAAATTCTGTATTACAGCTTTTCTAGTAATTTCTCTGCAGTTTCTTTATCAACACGTTGAGTTGCTTTGAATGCTTAACGTTTCTTTTCTGTTCTGCAGCCTAGTGACTTGCGGAAGCACAGGAGAAAGGTACTACTTTAAAAGTCCCTTCACAAAGAGCTCATGTATTTGTACATGATTAATTTTATAGGCACCATAGAGGACACCAGGGTTGATTAATTAATGTTGATGAAAATGAATGCTGGTTAAAACAATAATACTGAGAATTATAGCAGTAAAGAAGTATTGATATATATATATATATATAAGTAATCAATTATTCATAGTTATTTATTATTAAAATTATTTTCATTATTGCTTATTGTTAATATTATTATTTAAATTATTAATATCTAAGGAAATTAATCTCTGGAATGCACTATACTGTATGTTGTATGAAAATATCTTTATGGTTAATTTAAAATGAAAATACATATAAAACACATCCTGTTTTCAACCTAAAAATTCGTCTTTATTGTCATCCCAATCCTGTATGATTTACTTTTTTCTGTGGATAATGATATTTTGAAGAACTTTGGAGCCCTTTAATTTAATTAAATTTCATGTCTAAAAATATCTTAATTTATATTCCAAAGAGAAAATGTAATAGGTTTGGAACGGCATGAGAGTAAATTACAAATATGTCATTTTTTGGGTGAATTTAAAAAGACTTTCTTAAATCAATTTGGAATAGTGCACAATATTGGAAGACACCAGAGGTTTTTTTTGCCTCACAGATCGCAGCAGTGGACGAGGACGGCAGAGAGGACAAGGCAACCATCAAATGCGAGACCTCGCCGCCTCCCACACCTCGCCATGTCCGCATGACCCACACGCTACCCGCTTCTTCACACAATGACGCACGGTGAGAAGGCAAAAAGATGCCCGACAGCCACTAGACACGTGCTGTGTACAAACATAACTCGACTTTAACACTGTTGATGTGATTGGCTGTCTCCAGGCTGACGGCTGCTTTAGAGACGGAAGCCAGTGCTCTGAGCAGTGTAGCCAGCAGCCAGGACTCCCTTCACAAACAGCCGAAAAAGAAAGGCATCAAGTCCTCCATCGGACGACTGTTTGGGAAGAAAGAAAAGGCCAGACTGGGGCAGATGGGGAAAGAGATTATGGGACCAGGACAAGGTACAGACATAGACACAGCAGTGACAAATAAACTATTAAGGTCTGGTTTAAATTCAGGTTAAGCTCTATGACCTGATGTTGATATATCACAGTACCGATTTAATCTGATAAAATACTGATCTAGAGTTGAATATAAATATAATGGTCACACTAACATTATCAGATGATGGGTTAATGGATCTTTTCCATCAATAGGAAATGTATCCGATCCTGAGCTTATGGGTCAGGATATTGCGGTTGGAAAGCTGGGAACACAGGCAGAGAAAGATCGCAGGCTTAAAAAGAAGTAAGTACTTTGTAAATCGCTTTCTGACAAATTCAAATTAGATGCCAAACACAACCTTTTATGAAGGTAATTAACTCCTGGGCCCAAATCTTGTAAAAGTAAGTAAATATTACCACGCCATAACAACCTTCCTTACAAACGGTCATGTTTTTCTTCACACACCTCTTTGTGAAAGCCAATATTTGAACATTCTGGCTGCTTTGTAGTGCCTTAGGCCAGAAACATACTTTACGCCAGTAAGCAAGCACATTGCAGGCGTGCGGTCCTGTTGTGCAGACTTGGTGTGCGTTGTTGTGTCACTTTGGCAATAGCAACCCTCAGTGCTCACGATAGATTAATGCGATAAAGTAACTGTTATTTAGGTAGCTAGCTATAAGCATGCTGACAGTATAACGTAGCTAAGTTGCAAAGCTAAGATTCTCTTCGAGCTGATGATCCGCCATGACAGTATATGATCTGAAGGAACAAAACCATTCGGTAAGACGCTAGGCTATGAAGATGCTTTTTTGCAATTTTTGTTGCATTTTGTTTCGTAATGAATAATTTTCTGATAAATAAGTGTTTCTAAACTATTTTTTTGCGGCATTTGAAGCATCGACATAAAGTCCATCACCATTGTGATGCACTAAAATCTTTTTGCCAAAAAAATCCTGAATGCTGAGCTTGCGTAACCAACTGCCGTTCGCCCATTTGCGTATTTGGGTAGAGTATGTTTCGGGCCTTGCGTTAGCTCATTTAATAAAAAGAACAAATTTTCATGGTCAGTATAGTTTTTATTTGTTTTAGTTTACAATAATAATAATACTGTCTATGCCACATGTTGTACTACTAAAATAATGTAATTGTCTTGTATTTGTATGATTGTAATGTGTAGAATGTATGTTAACATGAGAATGTGCCTTTCATAGCAAGCTTGTGAGTTTGTCTCATACTTAGATGTGTTTACAGCATGTCATGATGTGATGCTTGCCGAATATCACGTTTCTTTGCCTTAACGCTAATGGTTGAATGTTACCGTATTATGTTACTTGACTCACCCATCGTGGCGCCATGCGAGGACGGCTCTTCACCGTTTCCATTGTACACTTTTTGCATGCTGTATGATTATAAAAAAACTAAAAAAAACTTTTAAAGACAAGATCTGTCCAATTGTGACCGACAAGTCAATATCAAAGTGCAAAAACACAACAATTCCTAACAGTAATGTACTTGTCTGAGCTGAGGTGTTTTTCTAAACTACATACAGTATGCTCAATAACAAGCATTTAATTTTGTCTCCCATCGCTTTCTCTATTTTTCTTTTCTCTCTCTCTCTCTCCTCATCTGACTCTGTATCAGCGGGTAAGTTTAGTTTGTGTTGCCGAGACTTGCTGCATTTTTCCACTGTCGACGCTCTCTGTCCGTGTCTGTCGTCATGCTCCTAAAGTGTGTGTCTATCTTCAGGGGGGTCCGACGCATTTCCTTTCTGTCCATCTAGAGACCCCTGCCTCTGCCTTTCTTTTTCATTTGACTGTAAATGTGATTCTCCCCCTCTACAGTTCTATAGAGGATGCATCTCTGCCTGGAGAGAGAATGTGTGCCTTTATAACAACCTGTTCTCGATCTGCCATGCTGAGGCCTTTCTCCTCTCGTGTATGTGTGCGTGCGCGTGCGTGTGCATTGTGTGCCGTATTCAATAACCAGGTCTCGTCTCTGGTTATGGACTGTCAACTCATTGATTACTTCCCTTCTCTCTTTTTCTTTTCATTTTGTTTTCTCTCATAACTGTTTCTCTCCCTCCCCAGCGACAGTATGTTCAGAGGAAGTCACTCATACGCATTACATTGGACCTGAACATATGCAGTCCAACACGTAAAGATGAGGAGAGATACATCATAACCACCACCATCACCACCAAGGCCTTATTGCCTTTACAGCACACAGACACGAAAGCTCACGAATAGTTCGCCACCGAAACGGTGCCCGTGCCCGATTTGGTTCTGTGCTTTGTGTTGACATTAAAAGAAAAGGTGGTTCAGGAAAAAAAGGGGTCCATTTTAAACTAGGAAACCTTAGTCATGCATATTTCATCCAATCTATTTTCTAAATGCATGTTGTGAACAATTCATCCACGTAATAACTCGAACTTCCAGTGAAACAACATTCTTCTCTCCGGTGACGTATGCCGGATTCTCCACTCATTTAGTCCGCTCAAACCCTGCTCACAATTGACTACAAGCTCACATTAAGATTAGTCCCTGTCCTGCATTTATTTCTTTTTCAATAATTAGTTTCACTTGGATGTAAGTCACAGTACGGAATACAAGATCTGTCACTACTTCCATCTTTAACTCTCATTGTACTGTAAAGTCCGGTCCACTTTATAAGCAGCTTATTCAGACCAAGAGCCGTTTACTTAAAACTGAGGACCTGTATGTTCTGTAACATGATGGACCATATTTATGCTATTTATTACCACATATGATGCTCCCGAAAAATCTTCGTTTGAAGGGCTATCTGGCCCTTCTCCCTAGCTCTCCCCCTCCAACCAAAAGATAATTGGGACAACCCTACCCCTTCACGTGGACGCGCAAAACGGAGGGGAAGGGGAAAGTGAAGGGGTAAGGGGTAGAATTGGGATTGGCCCTAAATGTCTCTTCTACGGTCAGGTTTATCTGAAATAGCTGATACTATAATAGCAGTAGTCTTCAGGGGGGTCTTCAGTAATCATGGAGTATATGTGCCATTTTAAAAGGACCAAAGCTTGTTAATAACAGTGCCATTTATTTACCAGGGTTTGTCTCATAGTGGCATTTTTCAAACATTTTAAATTGGCTTTTCCATGATCCACCGTTATTTTTATTCAATAGTTTGATTAAAAACCAGCTTTAGTTGTACAAACAAGTTGCATAAAATAACATGATCACTTGGAATGCTAAAGTATGTTCCCAAAACAAGGACTAAGACCTATAAACAAGCCCCCCCAACACACACAAAAACACAGAACCGGATCAGACACCATCGCGGCACCATTTCGGTGGAAAAAAGATATCAGTGGTCACGTAAGTCGCGTGGACAGAACCATTATCATTCACTACAGCATAGTGAAGTACTGTTCTGCTTAGTACTGTTCCCAACAGTTCATTCAAGTGGCCTTACTGTAGATCCCAAAGATGCGGTTGGATTATGAAGCTGCTCTCTGAGGGAGGAACATCCAACGATGTCTGCATTAAAGCCCACCACATCTGTGTATCGTAAAATATTCACCTGTACTTATTCTGTAGCCAAATCCCCTCAGATTTCCAACACAGTTCCACCAAACGTAAAGCCTTGCCTTGGAATATCTCTTATGTTAAACCTGCTCAAAATGACGGATCCTTGCAGACGAGTACATTCTGACGTTCAGACATTAGAAGGAGAGATATATTGGAACATTGCTGAGGACACACTCTGTTACAAGTCCTTCAGCCCCTGTAAAACCTTGGAAAAAGCTAAACATATTTCCCACTGAAGAACGCTGTTAAAAAAGCGTCTGATGAGAGTTTATGATAGCAGCCTTGTCTTAAAGCGCAAATATTTTTCAAGAATAGGGTTCAAAAGAAAAGGCGTTTCTGTTTTCCCTCGATAAGTCACAGCATTCCAGTTTCCTTAAGCTCTCGGTTTTTTAGGCGTGGATCAGGACACAGCAAGGAAATGTCACGATATGTTTATCTCAGCGTGATCGACTTCACCGTTAGTTTCTTTCGTTCGTTTTATCCAACCGCAACCTGGTCTTTGATTCATAAACAGAAACCCAGACCATTTTTAAGAGACGAGACGGACCTAAAATTAAATCATGGAGCGAGCATTATATTGGCTTAGGTACTGCTTATTTACAGAGATTACATGAAAAGGTAGCATTCGTCATGCTACATGCTAATTACGGACTAGTAGTAGTGTGTATGAAAGAAACTTTTAAAAAAGAAACGTATGCATTTGGTGTTCCATGTTGCTCTGATAAACAGATAGTGGCCATTAAAGGACAGGAAACCTGGCAGAGACAGATAAAGCATCTCACTTTCTCTCTCTACATGCCCCTTTCCCTCCCTCTCTCTCTCTCTGTTTAGTTGATTATTTCTAAGCTAGTTCTGTCCTTCTCCTTATCTGTCTTCCTCTCTGTCTCGCTTTGTCTCTGCCACCTGCTCTCTCTCTAGGCACGAGTTGTTGGAAGAAGCCAGAAGAAAAGGGTTACCTTTTGCTCAGTGGGACGGTCCTACAGTAGTCGCGTGGTTGGAGGTGGGCAGTATTCATTTTCGGTTTGGGCACATAAACACATCAGCTTTTCTCATCAATATTAATGATGTGATGTGCGTCTTAAAGTGCCCCTATTATGCATTTTAAAGTTTTCTGATGTTGTTTTGGAGTTGTTTTGCATCAAAGGTCAATACACTGTTTCATTTCCTCATAATATACATTTGCACATTCAATCATTCTCAAACAACTCGTCAGATGAATCAATCTCTATTAATCCCTCCTTTCCGCGAAGTACTCTGCTCTGATTGGCCAGACAGCTCAGTCTGTTGTGATTGGATTACCACAAAAAGCGCGTCAAAAACAAAAACGCCGTAACAGCTTGTCCTGAGGCTGCCTACAGCGTAAACTAAACAGACTAACGAACAATGACGTCGATTGTAACATATCAATGCCAGCGCGAGTCCGAAAATGAAACATTGGAACAACTATTCATCAAACCAAACCTCCATCGCAAGGCGTTTCTGTTATACGCTTCTCAGTTTTCTACCTCACCATCAGCTTTACCAAGGGCATGTCCATCAACAAATTGATTGTTTTATTTATACTTATTTATTTGCAGAGTATTTTTCTAACCTAATATATTGCGGTGAACACGTGGAAACTGTTTCAATAACATTGCATGTATGTTGGTAAAACAAATCAGGCCCACAGCTGATCATAGCCAAATCATGCCCACAGTTGCTTAGAGGAAGTATTTCAGTAAGTGAATTAGTGATGGCATAAGTTAGCCAGTTAGCAGGAGACCTGCACGACATCAAACTCAAAACTAAGTATTTTGCACACCATCTTTCAAGAGCAAGCGGTTTGCGAATCCTGCATTTAACTTTGAGGTTTGAGAAGCAGTCGTCAGTAAAATAATGATACTGCTGTGGTATCGTGGTAAAAACTAATTTTAACCTCTGACTCTTCATATGCTCATCCTTGGGCAGTGAAAAAAAAACCTGTCTTTAGCCTTACTTCACATTGTAGAGCAAAGGGTCTTCTGGACATGATGCTGTCCAGTATCCACAGGCATCAGCTGCCGGTTTGAGGTTCAAGTTTTCCCTGGTGTCTGCGTGCGCGATAAGCGAATGTTTCATCTTGACGTCACAACGAAGCGGCTTTAGACTCGTTTGAAAAACGATTAATTTTGTTGACTCTACAAACTTTTGAAAGACAATAACTTTATGTATAGTGCACTTTCAGATTGAAAACTTTGCAGGATGTTTTCATTCACTTCAAAAATTCATAATAGGGGCCTTTTAACTAAATATCTGCCATAGTCGGATCGAATCAAATTTAGAATACACAATGTTTTCATTTGTCATGCGTCTCCTAGCAATGAGGCGCATGATTCTGCATGAGTTTGTCCTGTTCGGAAGGACTTGACAGTTGTTTAGTGATGTTCAGAAAACTTTGAAGTAAGCAAGTGTATGATGCCTAGGCCACAGACAGGGCTTAGGCCTTAGTTCAATTAGGACATTTACGTGGCTTTTATAAATGGGCCTTAGAAAAAACATCACTGTTGTGCATTTTGAGACAAAACAATGGCAGTGATATATTTTAAGATATGAGAGTAAGTTGCTTGTAGTTAAAACAGCTCAAACATGCATTTTAGTCTGGGATTAACTTGAGCCTTAAACGGGGGCTAGTGTGCTGTAGTGTATTCCAGCCTTAAAATAAGGATCTGATTAGTAGAACAGTTGCATATTACATTCTGAGATCAGACTTTTCTTAGAATGATGCAATTGCAATATTAAGCTGTAGTAAAATGGCTGCAACATTGAGTTGAGAGTTTCCCAACAATGTTACACACAATATTGAATGCATTGAAATACTTGTTAGTATTTTCTTCATCTGGCTTAGATATGAAGTAGAGAATGATTTGGCCATGATGCAAAAAAATATTCAGGTTGGTTAGTGGTCAGAAAAGACTTGCACATTGGGCAATGGCGCCATCTAGTGGTGAAGCTTGCAATATAGATGTTTTAGAGCAGGGGTCTCAAAGCCTGTTCCTCGAGGGTTACAACTTGCCATCCTGCCGAGTTGAAGTCTGCAGGAACAGGGTTATAATGCAGTCCTGTACGTGTTTAATCATGCAACAATGTGTGTGTGTGTTCAAAGCTGTGGCTGGGGATGCCAGCATGGTACGTCGCAGCGTGTCGTGCCAACGTAAAAAGTGGGGCCATCATGTCTGCCCTGTCCGACACCGAGATCCAGAGAGAGATCGGCATCAGCAACCCACTGCACCGCCTCAAACTGCGTCTGGCCATCCAGGAGATGGTCTCGCTCACCAGCCCCTCGGCTCCCCCTACGTCTAGAACCGTGAGTACACACACACACTTTGTTTATTTGCTTTCTTATCAATAACATACATTATCAAAAAGTACAAAAACAAACTCCCTCCCCAAGTTTTATTATCAAAGTCTTACCTTGTTTGGCAAATACTCGGCCACGCCGGTCCATCGCCATAGCATCCTTACTGTCAGTTATTTTTAACCCATTTGCAGCTTAATTTTTTTTTCTGTTGTCATGGTAATAGTGTTTTGCATCGTCTGTGACAGCTGATCTGTGACTGTATTGTGTGATGACACATTCAGACTCTACACAAACATACACAGTCAAACTGCAGCTTATTAAAGTTATTTGTATGCACACTTTCTTAAAGCATCTCCTTAAAAACTACTAATTCCTCAAAGTCTAGCGCACACTGTACGATTTTGTTCACAGTTGGTGCGTTCAAGACATGTCGAAAAGAACGCCATTGCAAAGTCATAAATACGGGTGGGAAGCTCAGGATTCTCTTTCAGCCCCGATTTTTACGGGCAGAATAACACAATATTTATATTTATTTAGCAGTGACATTGTCAGGCACAAAATATAATAGCATTGTAGTATGGCAATATTACAAGTTTACAGTGGCTTCTTAAATGAATAAAAACATTAAAAAGCAAAACAAACCTGATGCACATTCATTGTTCTTCATTTTCTAGAAGTAGAGTTTACTTTCTCCTACGAAAGTGACTTGAACGTACCTGACTTCGTAAACACGTCGTATTTGACAATAAAAAAAGAAAAGGACAGAAAAAAGAAATAAATTGCGCAGGGTGCACAAGACTTGAGGCATCAGCTAATTTTGCATGTTAAAAGCAGTTTTCGTCTTCAGCAGCGGCTCCCGTCTCGTCAGAGAGAACGATGTTTAGTCTCCCCTGACGTGTGTTTGTTTGTGCGTTCAGTATGTGTATCTCTGGCCTTTGACTCTGTGTCTCGCTAATGATCTGACTGTGATGCTGTAACACTATTGGCTTACAGTGCTGCTGCTCTTCTTCTTTAACACTGCTTGCCCTTCCTGTCGGATTCATCTCTGGGGCCGCCCACATAGCCGTCGGGTAACGTGTGGGTAACCCACGAGGAAATGGAGACCCTTGCCGCCCCCTCGAAAACGGTCAGTCAACTCATCCATTTCAACTGTCTAACAGAAAAAAGCCCACCCATGTGCTCTTTGCTTACTCTTACTGACATTTTTTGCAAACGGTTTTGTTTCACAGAATCAGGATAGAGCACGAAAGTCGACATGAAATCGAAAATGAGCATCATTTACTTTTCTAGTACAAGTTCCTGGTCTTACTGTGCTCAATTCAAAGCAAAAAAAAACAACAACAATAACAACAACAACAGAAAAAAAAATCAAATTAAGGAAGTAAAATGATTAGCGAATGGGGATTCATGTCGACTCCAAGCTCTGATCTTTAACTGGGCAGAGGAAGATTTCCTCAGTTCACGTTTGAATATAATCAGCTCATGTGTGCCGCCATCAATCACATCCAGCGCTAACGATCTTTAGATGGGTGAACCAGCAGCGACAGAGGCCCTAATTTCATAGAGAACAGCTCTCAACGAGGCTGAACGGATGTGAAGTTCTCACATTCAAATGGAACGTAATCAGTCAAAGGAGAATAAAACTAGCCTCGTTATTCTCCTTTGAGCCTCGTACTATCATCACGGTTCACCCTCATCAGCAGTATACGACCGGCACCGAGAACACGAGTCTGGAACGGAATCAGACGAATGCATGTTGTGAATCTGATGTACAACCCCAAATCCAGAAAAGTTGGGCCATTTTGTAGAATGCAATAAAATCAAGAATATGTGATTTGTTAATTGTCTTGAACCTTTATTTAACTTACAAGGGTACAAAGATTTTCAAAGTTTTCAGTGACCAACTTAAGTGTATTTTGTAATATAAACAAATTTTGATGGCACCAACACACTCCATAAAAGTTGGGACAGAGGCATGTTTACCACTGTGTCACTTAAATGTTTGTGAATTGAGTATACTAATTGTTAGAGTTTTGCAAGTGGAATTTTGGACACTCAAAAGTCTGTGGTTGCCTTATTTTCGATCTGGACTGCAGACAAACACGGACTCTGAGGCCTAGAGAACTCGGCAGCATCTCTGTGTTGAACAGATCTACAGCTTCCTCCTTGCGTGACAGAGATTCAGGTTGCATTTCTGTGTTAAATGACATGGGTTTTCCAAAGAACTCCCGAGTACTGTAGCACTATGATGGATCTGAGGGCTCAGGAGTTCAACAGAGATTTCCTGCCTTGATTTCTCTGGATTCCCTAAATATTTTCACAATAATTATGTATGGTAGAAGGTGAAAGAATGAAATGCTTTTTGCAATTTTGAAATTGTTTGATAATTCTTTCATGAAGTGATGAGCCATGACCCATCCTTGCTTGCAAAGACTGAGATCCTCCTTTCACACTCAATCCCGATTCCCTCACCTCTTACCAGTTCACCTACTTTGTGGACTAAAACTTTAAAAAAAAAAACACTTTTATTTAGCATCTGTCCCAGCTTTTTTGGAGGGTGTTGTAGCCATCAAAATTGAAATGTTGGTCAGTGAAAAGTTTGATAATTCTCCTGTATACTTTTGTCATTAAAATAAAGGTTTAGTTAGAACATTTAAAGGGATAGTTTACCCAAAAATGAAAATTCTGTCAGTATTAAGATATTTTTGATGAAATCTGAGAGCTGGATCACTCCTCCATACTAGTCCATAGACTTCTTGAGGAATTGAAACTTGCCGGCCCCAAAAAGTTATTAAAGACATTGTTAAAACAGTCCAAGTGACTACAGTGGCTCAATCTTAAGATTATCAAACGACGAGAACACTTTTTGTGCGCAAAAAAACAACAAAAATAACGACTTTATTTCAACTATTCATTTCCTTCTCTGTGGGCCTCTAGTCAGTTAACGTAGTGTGATAGCGAAGAGCTACGGCTCACTATTGGCCGACGCTAGTCATGTGTGTGATGTGTGTGACGTACAACAACAGATCATTTCGCTGTTAAACTAGTAACCTGACTCCAGGCCCAGAGATAAGGAAATAAAGTCGTTATTTTTGTTGTTTTTTGTGCACAAAAAGTGTTCTCGTCGTTTGATAATCTTAAAATTTGAGCCAGTGTAGTCACTTGGACTATTTTAACGATGTCTTTAATAACTTTTTGAGGCCGGCAAGTTTCAATTCCTCAAGAAGCCTATGAACTAGTATGGAGGAGTGATCCAGCTCTCAGATTTCATCAAAAATATCTTAATTCGTGTTCCGAAGATGAACGAAGGTCGTACGGGGTTGGAACAGCATGAGGGTGGGTAAATACTGACTTTCCCTTTAACACATAACAGGTTCTTGATTGTACAAAATGTCCCAACTTTTCTGGATTTGTGAATGTAGTTTGTGTGATGTTTTATTGTACTTGCATGCAGAGAGAGAGAGAGATGGACACGTTTCTTACGTTGTTATAGTTTCATCTACTGTGTGTGCTGTTGTGTTACATGTTTAATAATGTTTAAAGCTGCCAGATGCATCCGGTGCATTAGCATGTACGATTGGGTGATCATTTATTATAAAACTAAGTATGCATGTATGTGCTTTGAAAAGTAAACTGACGTAAGCAACAGTTGGCAGACGTAGAGCTGATACAATCGCTTCCCTGTGTCTCCGCAGAAGTCCCAGTCAGAGGAGGGGAGCTGGTCACAGGTGAGAGCAAATGTTATTTTACATGCATTTAATGTTAACATGAGAGCAGAGCGATAAAACATTGCACAAACCTCGCCTGTGTGCGATGTCACATCCACATTATGTTGTGAATATGTAAAAGTCAGTAAACATGGTTTATAATTGGTGTGTGTGATTTAGACGCTGGCATACGGGGACATGAATCACGAGTGGATCGGGAACGAGTGGCTACCCAGTCTCGGTCTACCTCAGTACCGCAGCTACTTCATGGAGTGTTTGGTGGACGCGCGCATGCTGGACCACCTCACCAAGAAGGACCTCAGAGTGCATTTAAAAATGGTGGACAGCTTTCACAGGTCAACAGTCCAAGAACATTGGTGTCAAACTATTGGCCAAAACATTTCCCATCCGTTCGAGCGATTAAATCCGAGCGGACTCGGACACGTTTAAACTGGTTTCGGTTGTAATATCAATGTGTTGTTTGTAACAGAACCAGTCTGCAGTACGGCATTATGTGTCTGAAGAAGCTGAACTACGACAGGAAGGAGCTGGAGAGACGAAGAGAGAGCAGCCAGCACGAGATAAGAGGTAGGTAACAGTCCTCCGGGGCCACCTGCAAAGGCGTTGGTTTGTGATGATTTTCCAATGAACAAAAACACCCACTAGGGTTTTGTATTCGCATAGACGTGCTGGTGTGGAGTAACGAACGGGCGATTCGCTGGATCCAGAGCATCGGCCTCCGCGACTACGCCAACATCCTGTTAGAGAGCGGCGTGCACGGGGCGCTCATCGCACTCGACGACAATTTCGACTACAGCAGCCTGGCCCTGCTGCTGCAGATCCCCAACCAAAACACTCAGGTCTCCATCCATCCACACACACTTTACAGTTATTACATGTTTATTTGGAGGGGAAAATATTGAATTCACTCTTTTTTTTCCCCCCCCCACAGGCTAGACAAATTCTGGAAAGAGAGTACAACAATCTGCTGGCGCTGGGAACAGAGAGGCGATTAGATGAGGTCAAGCACTAGTTTGTTTATTTTTTTAGAACCGAACAATGGACAGCAGTATCTTCCAAATCCTCATTGAGCTGCATTGCTACGTACTGACTAAATAAAAGAAACCGAACCTCAAAAATGAGCAATTTAGAGCGAGCGCTTTTCACAGTCAAGTTCCAAACGAGAAACAAGGAGGCGTAAATGACTAATGTTTTAGCATGTCGGTCTGCATAAAAATAGAAATTTTGAGAAAAAGTGTACTAAAAAAAGACCAAAAAAATGTACTGATGAGGGTTCATGAATTCTACGTACATTTATTAGAATTTAATCAACATTTTGTTTTTGTTTTTTTTCCACTGACCTTGACAGTGAATTGTGCAATGAGCCAATGTAAGCTTACATCAATTGCACAGCAAAGCTAAAAGCATATTGTTTATGTAATTATTTGCTGCAATAAGCAGTGTGAAATAGCACTTTGGTCTAAATTTGTCCGTATCCGATTTGTCCGCATCCGTAGTGCGACGAGAAAGACTTCAGAGGGCCGTCGTGGAGGAGGCAGTTTCCTCCGCGGGACGTCCACGGGATCAGCATGATGCCCGGCTCAGCGGAGACCCTGCCCGCAGGCTTCCGCCTCACTGCCACCTCCGCACACTCACGCCGACTGCCACCAGAGGGTGAGACCCGCGCACTAGAACTCACACAGTACTACCACTCGCAGCAGATAACAGAGCACAAAAATCGAGTAGTTTGAAGCCGCAGACTCGGAGACCTGCATCTACAGTCCCCCTGCACACACAGTCCCGCATTCTCAGACCCCTCGTTTTTCGAGACAGCGCCTCCTATCAAATTGTATCGGATAAACATGTGAAGAACATGTAAAGAACTTAAGCCAAAACGTGAGTAGGCTATCTTCAATTTTATTTAGCGAATCGTAGTAGCCTACTCGTTTGATTTATTTTTTAATTCAACTAATTTAGCTCATCGTAACATATGAATAGTACATTTAATATTTGTAAAGATAGTTTGTAACAAGATTTGAGCCGTTAAAGGGTTAGTTCACCCAAAAATGAAAATTGTGTCAGTATTTACTCACCCTCATGTTGTTCCAACCCCGTAAGACCTTCGTTCATCTTAGGAACACAAATGAAGATATTTAAGATATTAAGATCGCTCCTGCATACAGTCCATAGGCTTCTTGAGGGACTGGCTCTTGCTGTCCTCGAAAAGTCATTAAAGACATCGTTAAAATAGTCCAAGTGACTACAGGGGCTCAATCTTAAGTTTATCAAACGACGAGAACACTTTTGTGCGCAAAAAAACAACAAAAATAACGACTTTATTTCAACTATTCACTTCCTTCTCCATGAGCCCGTAAGTCAGTTAACGTAGTGTGATTGCGTAGAGCTACGTCACACGTAGGCTCACTATTGGCCGACGCTGGTCATGTGTGTGTGATGCGTGTGACGTACAATAACAGAAGCTTACGCTATTAAACTAGTAATCTGACTCGCGCAGAGGGAGAAATAAACGAATAGTTGAAATAAAGTCGTTATTTTTGTTGTTTTTTTTGCGCACAAAAGTGTTCTCGTCGTTTGATAAACTTAAGATTGAGCCCCTGTAGTCACTTGGACTATTTTAACGATGTCTTTAATGACTTTTCGAGGACAGCAAGAGCCAGTCCCTCAAGAAGCCTATGGACTGTATGCAGGAGCGATCTTAATATCTTAAATATCTTAATTTGTGTTCCGAAGATGAACGAAGGTCTTACGGGGTTGGAACAACATGAGGGTGAGTAAATACAGACAGAATTTTCATTTTTGGGTGAACTAACCCTTTAATGTATGTTTTTTCGCCCTCTTTTCAGAAGATAGTTCAATCTGTAATTGTATCCCTTCCATCAACAGTGAGTTTTTTTTGGCACATGCATTAAGCAGGGAAGGCAAATATTTATTGGATAATTTATTTGGAGACCGTAATATTGCATCCTATTGTTTTTAATTGCATTTGGATAAGCCTGCGCTGTACTCTGTGTGTGGGTGTTATACGATCTTTCGAACAGCAGGAGGCGCTGTGTTGGAAAAACGAGGGGTCTGAGAATGCGGGACTCTGGGTGGGGGACTGTAGATGCAGACTCCGAGTCTGCAGCTTCATAATATTGCAAAAATCGGCTATGGGGCAAAAAAGCATGCGGTTTGAAACGGAGCCTACGTTTGAGATGGAATAATACTAGCATTGTGCTTACCGCTAACTCGATTGACTTTGTTAAATTGAATTGAATTATTTCTTTAGTATGCTTGTGTGTGTGTGTGTGTGCGCGTGTGCAGCTGCTTGAAAAAAAAAAACGGTCTGTAAAATGAAATTTTGCACATTAGCACACATCCGATTATTTGCACGTGTGTTAGTGGCGTGTTTGTATGAAGTGAGTGTATATATAGTGTGCTTGTTTGTGAGTGGGGTTAATGTAGGACTGCACAATTTAATGAAATGAATCAGAGCGGATCGATCGGTTCGCAGCAAATGCTGCTCCATCTCGGCAAGCGCTGTAAAGCCCCGTTCACACTACACGCGACCGAGCGACACGATACCATTCATTTTCAATGGTGAGCGGGCGATTTCTGGCGACACGCGCGGACGCAACAAAGTTGAGAAATGTTTAACTTTATGCAAATGAAGAGCGATTTTCGTGAGCGACAACCAATAGGAGTGAAGTCAGTGGAGTGCGTCACTCAAGTTGAACGAGAAGCTCATTTTAGCAGTCAGAATAGTATCATCCTATAATGGATGATATATCTCCGTGTGTGGTGTTCACCGTACTGACTCCGTGACTGAATGGTTTTGGGAACCCAGATAGACCGGTATTTGCACATTTGCTGCAGTTAAATAGCCGCGATGGCAAAGAGCGCTCACTGTTTCTCGTTCATCTTTAATATTATGCATTTTATGTACTGATTCCATTTATATTTAGACTTTTCCTTCCAAAATATTTGTTTGTAGCGGCAATAAAACGCATTTGTTGTCTAACATTGAGCGACATCCGTGAATGTCACTCACAAACATTACTAGGCAACCAGTAGTGGGGGACGCCCTCCAGCGCAGCCACTGGCGACCTGCAGCGACAAAGTCACGTGTAGTGTGAACGGGGCTTAAGTTTAAATCAGTCATGACACGCATTTGAAAAATCAACGCGTGACAAACATATTTTCAAACGTGTAAAATAATTGAATGTAATTTTCCTTCAAAAATCATTTCATAACATCAGTCGAGTGTTGGTGATGTGGCTTCTTATCGTAGAATTAGGCAGAAATTATATACTTTTATTGTTTTCTATACAGTGGTGAAGTGGAATAGCATTGCATTATAAATATACTTTATTCTTCTAGAAATAGGTGAGACGTCTAGAAGAACACAGATCAACCATATATGACTGCAATTGTATGTTTAATGTGTTTCTTGTTTGGTCAGTCAAAAGCATCTCTCTCTGCGTTTTATGCTCTACAGCTAGCTGGATGCCTTAGTCCATATATGGGATTTCCTGGAATGTCATAAGCGTTATGAATTGTATGCGTCTCACTTGTGGATTTCAGCTCAAGGGCGCCGTCCGACTACCAGTATGAATAAAGCAGTTATTACATTATATGTGCGCAGACAATATTGCTGAAAACACCCTATTTTGGGTAAAAAATCTGAAGTAAACATGAAAATCCTTACGTTTTTCTTTTCTCTCTCTCTCTCTCTCTCTCTCTCCATGTATGCATACAATTCTGAAAGTCAGAAAAAGAAGAAATTGCCATCATATATTTTATCATAATAATAGTAATAATAATTTGAGACATGTCTATGATTGATAGGAAAATGAAGTGGTATTTTGAAGTGCTCAGCCAAATGGATGGATGTCGTTTGGAAATGTTTTGTATTTGTCTGAAAACAGTTCTTGTTAAGGTTTGTATTTTGTGTGCCCAGTGTCTGGAACATTATAATGTGTTTTGTCAGTCACATGCCTGTTTAGGTGATTTTCGACATGGGACAGACTTTTATACTTGTGCTACAATTGTGTGGCGTGTGCTACAAAACAAAACTATTTATAGTTAGTATCAGGGCTGGGAAAAACAATGTGGCAATTTGTGCAATTTATATTTGTTCAATGCATTAAGTGAAATGATCAGGACATACAGGTGTAAGTGTACTGATAACAAATGGTTATGCAATTAGTCATTTTTCAACTTAGGGTTTAAGTTATTTATCTGCGTTAATGACAGAAACATCACCAAACTATATAAAAGGCACATGTAAATGTGAAACTATAATGGATTTGAATATTGTGAATATCGTTTTAAGTACAATGTATGATAATTGTCCGTAAATAATGAATAAAATGTGATGATAATTTTATAAACCTGATATTTGATCATTTGCAGTTTAGTCGTAGCTTTCGGTTCTACTGTATTGTTGAATTGTTATAATTAGTAGTTCGATTTATCGATCAGTCAGTCAGTTTAACAGAGCGGTCAGTATTGATGTAAGCACATACTGGCCTTCATTTGTAGTACTCTGTAAAAACATGTGAATTTTCAGCAGCCATCACTTCAGTCTTCAGTGTCGCATGATATTTATGCGTGCAATGGGTTTGAGTCAGAAAAAGTGAAACCGATGCTTAATACTGTCCATGAATACATATTTTGGCAAAAATAATAGGAAATAGAATACAAAAATTCTTAATAGTATGGTGGGGCCAGGGTTTGAAATGATTTGTGACTCTTAGGGGGTCCCCTAAAATGTATGTAAATATAAAATGATAATACAATTCTGAAGACTACTATGTAGCCTACTGTAGGCAAAATATATATGGACCAATGTCTGTGTTTTTCCCGTCTCAAAATGAGGCAGAGGTGGCAAAATCCGGAGATGGTCCTCACTGCGGAACATGAAATCCACGGGGAGGAGTCGGATCCAGATCCAACTCCTCCCACCTTACATACACCTAAACCTAACCAACAACTCCGCCCCCTGATCTCTAAACCCACCCCTGATCCCTAAACCCAACCCTAATCCTACCCATCTCCACCCCTTGGATCGTGATCCGACTCCTCCCCGTGGATCTCATGTTCTGCACTGAGGTGCTACTGAAAATCCTGACACTAGGGGGGTTTCTGTAATTTGAAACATTTTAAAGGGGTCATGAAGTGGCTTTTTAAATTTGATCATGTTGTCGTCAACTTATGACGTTCGCTTGGTTTTTGCATTCAAAAACATCAAATTGATTAAGTAATAGGCTATTTTCTACACTAGTTGTGAGCCTAGCTCCAAAACGCTCGGTTTTCATGGGCGTCTCGCACTGTAGTAAACGCCCACTGCTGTGAGTGGATAACAGTTTTGCGTATCATAATGAGTTTCAACTCACCCGTCGATGCACTTGGGGGAAATTGTTTTGAAAACGTCCAAGGTTAACATATGCATAAACATATGCAGCGACTGTCTTCTTCCACAAACATCACAAGGTAGGCATCTATGTTATTTAGCTATGCGCGTAATGCGCGAATCGGTGGGCGGGGCTAAACCGGCCACGTTGAAGTAGGCATTGATCTTCTGCGGGGGTGGTGTTTTATCCTCTTTGACGTCATAGTTCCCCACTTTGAAAAATGAGTCGTTTGCTGAGCCTGGTGTCAATAAAAGCTTTTATTGGACCAACAAGGACGTTTTTCAGTTCTTAAAGGTCCCCTGACATGTGTTTTTTTTGTATTTTATAATGTGTCCTGGGTTGCCCTTTTAATGTTAGTATGTTTTTTAGATCAAAAATAAATTAGAAAAAAAAGGCATTTTCCCTAGCCTCCGCTTAGAACGGTCTGTTTGAAGGGCCGTGTCTGCTGTGGGATTCAATGTAACCGTCCACTGCTGTGATTGGCTGACATGCTTGCATATGAAATAGCTACATATTACACGTGAAACTCTCTTGAATACGTTTTACTACAGCTATTATACGTTTTTACTATTACAGATATGGAGATTACTGATTCGTGAGAAGTTTTTGAAGTATTTTGATTCTCATCACATAAAATGACATTCTGTCGATCGCGAGAATGAAGATCTTATTGTATAACGCAGTTTGTGCACTCTCTGCTTTCACCAATGCAGACATGATGATGTCCATACAGTAAGAGCTTCGTTGTGCAGTGTAACGCAGTTTCTGTTCTCTCTAAAGCCCGGAACTCGTCCGCTCTCGTCGAGGTAAAAAGCTGCACTTGAACTCACCGAGAGAACTGCAGCTGATTGTCAACTATAGCCTAATGTGCGGTCTGCGCCAGCATTTATTGAGCCAACTATATTATATATATTAGTCTATATTCTGCAGATACACTGCAGGTAAACAAAGCAGCGCGTGCTTACCGTTTAGAATATCAATCCTGCTAAACTTTTTTATTTTGATATTTCTCGAGGAAAAACTGAAATCTCAAAGCTGTTTCTGTAGGAAAAAATAAAACCGTGCCTGCGCGTGTTCGTACTTCCTGTTCCTAGCTCGTTTGGTTATCTCATGGTCAGTCTCTGGGTGGGCAAAGCAGAGAAAGGGGAGTAACCTTTCCCCTATATGACGTTATACGTATAGGGAGAGATTCTAGACACGAGGGGACCAAATACAGTCTAGGGCAACTCGTATTAATGTAAAAAAAAAAAAAACCTCAGAAATGGAAAATTTCATGTCAGGGGACCTTTAAACTTACAAAAGCTCAAGGAAAATGTGATTTGTCAGTTCAAAAAACTTAAATCGTAAATGTTTCATTTTTAAAAATACTCGTATCTGAATCATTTTTGTACCTTTTATAACCTTTATAATTAGGCACTTTCCACCTAATTTCATTCAATGTACACTACCGGTCACTAAAAGTTTTAGATCGGTAAGATTTGTAATGTTTTTCAAAGAAGTCACTTCTGCTCCCCAAGGCAGCATTTATATGATTTAAAAATACAAAAAACATTAAAATTGCGAAGTATTACAATTTAAAACGTCTGTTTTCTTTGTGAATATATATATAGTAAAGTGTCATTTATTCCTGTGATCTAAGCTGAATTTTCATCATCATTACTCCAGTCTTCAGTGTCACATGATCCTTCAGGAATCATATGATGATTTCATGGGGAAAAAAAACAAGAAAAAAAAAAAACAGTTGTGCACATTTATTTTGTCAAAATTCTTTGATGAATAGAAAGTTCAAAGAACAGCATTTATTTAAAATAAAATTTCTTATTTTCCCCCAAAAATACAATCAAAATTCTTACTGACCCCAAACTTTTAAAGGGTAGTGTTTAATGTTACAAAAGCTTTCCATTTCAGAGAAATGCTGTTCTTTTGAACTTTCTATTCATCAAAGAATCCTGAAATAAAAATGTAAAAAACAGTTTTCAATATTGACAATAATCATACATATTTCTTGAGCAGCAAATCATCCTATTAGACACTGAAGACTGGAGTAATGATGATGAAAATTCAGCTTTGATCACAGGAATAAATGACACTTTACTATATATATATTAGTTTTAAATTGTAATAATAATAATTGGCAAAATATTAATTAATATTGGTTTTTTTTTTTAATCATATAAATTCAGCCTTGGGGAGCAGAAGAGACTTCTTTTAAAAACATTAAAAATATTACCGATCTAAAACTTTTGACCGGTAGTGCATGTTTTAAATTTGATTTCAAATTCGTACATTTTATTAATAGGCTACATTCAATTAAAATAATAAGACAGCCTAGCACAGTGGCTGTTACCAATCAAATTAAAGAATTTACATAGAAAAATTATAACTGTATTAAATGGCATTATGAGATGGTGTGAAATGTTTTTTGAATATACAAATAAGGAATGTTGAAAAGAATGATACTTTGAGTAGTGAGCGAGTAATGAGCGTGTCATTGAATCGTTCAAACGGCTGATTTATTCAGAATGATAATGGGTAATCTTTGACTGGAATGATTAGATCAAAACGCTGAATTACTCAGTAATGAATCATGGGTGAATGTTGCTCTGAGATGCGCTGTGTTGTTTGGAACTATTTTCGCTGCTGTAACGGAACAGTCATTGCGTCTAAAAATGTAAAAGTAACTTGGAATTGGAACTGTTTTAACTCTTTGTTTATTGAACTGTTATGAAATCAATATATCGGTTTGAATCGTGATGGCATTCAGGAAGACAGCACTTTGGTAGTGTGTAGCTATTATATTATAAATAACTTAGCGCTAGGAAATAAATGAATTACTATTATAAATATAAAGCGTCACTAAAGACCTCTAATTTGCACAATCATTGTTAATGTTAAAATATAGCCTATTTGTCGGGGACCCCCCCCCCCCCCCCCCCCAAAAAAAAAAAAATCATGGGGGGTCGCTAGTGATTTATGGAGTGTCTGGGACCCCCACATTTCGAACACTGGGTGGGACACTATTCCAAACACAGCCAGTTGCACACAAACAAATTTCACCCCAAGATGGACAGACAAAAGTAACAAACACACAAAGGTTGACTGTGTTTCTGTTGTTTGTTTGTTTTTTTTTTTACGGACGGCTGCCGGGTAGCCTTGTACGAGGCGATGGACGACAGTCCTGACGACATGTATTTGGACTGGTTTCAAGGTCAGATATGACTTTCCCGACCCTCGTCCCTACAGTGTAGTGTACTCGTATCCCCTTACGTGGTCTCAATGTCTCCTGTCCTTTCTTAACCGTCAACCTGTGAAGTGTATGTCAACAGTGATTTGGAGCAGCATCACGTCAGCCTTGGAACGGAGAGAAGTGGCGAATCTCGTAATAGCAATAACGACAGCAATAAAACAAATAGCAAAAAAGTCTTCTTAAGGCTAAAAAATAACGTAGTCGATGAAATTATTTGCAGTGCGTGTAAATCTTTGAAAGCCTTTCTTATTAAAGTATTTAAATGGGTGCGCATGAGAAGAGAATAATTCAGTTCACTCGTCACCGAGTTGACGATATTACGTAAGTTAGTCGACTTACTAAATGACCTGTTGGACATGTAACAAATCGGCTCGCTTTTCTCTGACGGACACACCTTGAGCGCGGTAGCAGTGGGAAAACATAGTGGGTGTGGTCGACCTGTCATTTGGATCCAGGGCGACCAATAGAAAAGGGCCTTTCATCCCGATCGATAGATACCGCCCACCGAGGCTTCACTCGCAAGCAAAAGATTTAGAACCGCAAAATAGACAGAGAAAAGAGAGCGAAATTTGTGTGATGAAAAAGTGTTTGAAATGCACAAAGAAAGATCAAGGTTTTCATAGGTTGGCATGCACTGCAAATAAATTTGTCATCAACTTGTTTATTTCTGAACCTTAAGAAGACTTTTTTTTTGCAATAATGTTTAACAATTGTTTTAAATGCCAAAAAGAATCAATTTACCTCTCGAACACTTAAATAAAAAGACTCAAAGGAAACTTCATAAACCGTAAAACAAGGGCAGGGAAAAGGTTTAAAAAGGAACAGTGTTGATTTTCTCTGAAGTTCCTACTTTTCATGAAGAGATTGAAAAATGAGTGTAAATATTGGGTAGTTGTCGAATTTGGAACACGTGTCATCGCCATCCTCGTGAAGATCCTTTTGGGAAGCCGTCTTCAGCGTTCACTCTAATCCGGCGGCAGCATTCCAAGGTGGGTTCTTTTCAGCACAATATATGGAGTAGCTCTTTTTTCCTTTCATTCCTAGACGCCAAGGTCACGTCCTTTGCCGCGGTCCGTTAATAGAGAGGGTGCAGGTGTGACGTCAGAACCCTGGAAGTGTAATTTGACACCGGTTCCTATTTCCCAATTGGATCGTGTTGTAATGGGGTTTTTCAATTTCTGAGAATGTAGCCATTGTAGCCTGTGGTAAATTACAGACTCGCACCCCAAGCTGCCACACGTAGTGGAAAAAGTAACATAACTCGTCCAAAATTGTCACTATTGGTGTCGCAGATTATAGATTATAATGGGTATAGATTCGTGTCGCAGAGATGTGACATTTCTGGGGCAAGCTTTCCTCTGTAGTCGACCTCAAGGTTTTTGTAGGTGGGCACAACACGGAGCCGCGGACTCCCTTTGAATCGTCACCGGCGAATCACTTCCACCTCGACTGCCGAGCGACTTCATCTTCAGCCTGGCGAGCTGCTGAGGATCTGTTTGCGTGGCTATCCTCCTCAGAGAGGCGATGCAGAAGTGGAGGTGCGCCTGCGGTCAAATGCACTGCCTTGTCAGAGATGCTAAATCAGAGTAAGGGAAGACGATGCAAGATAACGCAGCTCCTGCGTGAATTGCCCTGGCCTCTCCCGTTCCACAGGGACAACCTGGTGAGAGTGGTTCTCTGGGCCTTGGCCATGAGATGTTAAAGTGAAGGTCAAAGGTTTGCATTTGAGGCTGCCAGGGACTGTTTGTAATGCAACAGCTGCGTCAGCGTGATGGCTAACGGAAGGCGTTTGCGCTACGGAGAGGTGTACAGACGCGTTGCTCTCTTTGTTCTGTTGCAGTTTTGTGCGGGAATGAGAGCGTGACCTTTGGTGTTGGCGTAAGGTGTGTGTTCTCTGAACGCTTTTGATTGTGGAATAGAGGATGACACGGGAGTGGATTTTCACTCCTGTCCCGTCCCACTCCCACAGAAAGAAATCTTGTCCCGTCCCACTCCCAGACCAAAGTAAAAAAAAAAATCCCATCCCATCCCGCTCCTGGTAAATTGACTCCCGCTCCCATATATTTGTTTCTTCAATTAGTGTTTAGTTAATGCATAGAATTTGATGTAATCCTCTCCAATCCATCCTGTTTTAGACCAGCTGCTGAGCCCCTGTTTCTAGATTTTGTCCAGAAAATGGAAGACAGTAAATAAAAGAAAAACAGTACATCACACCATGTGTACAATTGAACAAACCCAAACAGCACATAAAGCTGCATTTGACTCATTTATTGTTGAGTAAACAATACATTGATCTATTTTTTTAATGACATTTTAAACGATTTTCATCAATTAATTGTAATCAATTAACTAATTCTTTCGTGAATGTGCCTCGCAATCGTGCCTCTTCAGACTGCTCGTCCGTGAATCACTTGCTACTTGACTAAAGGGGGTCGTACACCAGACGAGAAGCTCAGCGCCGCGCCGCGCCACATCTTTAAAATTGGAACACATTATTCTCTGAGTGTACACACACACACACACACACACACACACCGGCGGCACCATTCTGTCTGTCCGCGGCGCCCAGCAACGACTCAGGACCGTGTTCAAAACCCTGCTGCGCCACAGAGGGCCATTTGCATAGTTTTATGTAAAATGTAAAGTATTTTTGTCTCAAATCGTTGCTAATGTATCCTGACTTTGCCCTATGCAGTAATATACATTTAGTTTTGCATTCATTTACAGAAATCAGCTGGATTTTTCAGTTGAGATTCTCAATTCATTCAGGTAACGGATGCTCTGAGGTAAAGTTTTCAGACTGCATACTGAGCAACGATTGTATTTAATTGTACAGTACAATAATAACATAGAACAGACATTATCTTCAATATTGCTGGCCATACACTGATGAGAAAGTGCGCGTCCGGCGTGCGATGCGTTACCTGGAGTTGTCCTAGACCCGGTGTGCGACCCCCTTTTATGCATGTCTTACAAGCAGCGTACATCGTGCTATCACCGTCACATTGTACTCTCATATACTTAATTAACATTTGCGACTTTCCGAGCAGTTCTGTGAACTTAATAGACATGTCATTGCTTGTGATTTTGCGCTGTAAATCATGTTTTTTGCCACATCGACTTCTCCGCGGCTATTAGCTCCCTCCATCACCGCTCTTTGAATTCCGGCGGTAAGCCGTGACAAAAAGCACCGATGGCTTCTGGAACGGCTGGGTCGTGTAGTTGTTTTTTAATTGCGATACATTGTAGGTGTATTAAAAGGAAAGTACAAAATGGTGCATGTACTTTTGTCTGCTAGTGGTCGATTCCCGCTCCCGTCTGCACCCGTTAACCATTTATCCTGTACCGTCCAAATCCCGTGATTAATAGCAAAGATGACTCCCATCCTGCTGGAATCCCAGGGGAATAGTTTTGTTAAGGGCCGTTTTATTACTGGGCGTCTTGAGCGGACATCCCTGACTTGGGTTGACGGCTAATTTTATTGGCTCATTTTATTAGAAGAGGAGTTAGTGAGAGGGTTTGTGCCTGGTCAGTACATTTGTTCTCCTCACTATCTGGACAGGACAAAGGCTCTTAATGGGCAGTTTTCTTTCATTGGTTCACACAGCGCTGCGCAGCTCAAGACGCAGTGGGGACGCCCCCTGGGTGTGCCGATTGTCCGAAGCCCTTATTGAATCACGGCGATTCGTTGGCTGATGGCTCGGGCGCCGGCCCGACGCTCCTGCGTCATCGTATTATATCGGTGCGTGCCATCTGCTCCTCAGATTTGTCCGATTCCTCTGTTTTGGTTTTTCACGGGCCGAACATTGGGATTATCACCAGCTTCTTCGTCTGCTTCTTCATCCGCACTTGAGCTACTGCGATTAGTGAAACTCTGTTCTCCTTGCGGTGAAGCGCCGTGGAGTTTGGTCGTGGCCCGCCGCCAAGTGTTTGGGCACGCGAGGCTGTTTTAGGCTCGTCTAAATGTAAATTGTGTGACAGCCTCCTTCTCAAACCCTCCGCCTCATTGGAATCCGCAATCTGGGGCTCGAATGTAGAGCTCGAGGATAGCTTGGCCAGTGGAGTTCTCACGATTATTTATGGGCCGGCCCGAGAACATGCGAGTGGGTTTCTTTGGAAGATGTCGTTTACACTACAGCGTGTGACTCTCTCT